CAATGTCTCAATGCCAGCATAACGGTCATTAGTCTCCTTTGTCACCTGCTTGGTGACAGTCTTTCTTAGCAAAGTTGGTAGTGTGAACTGAATCCCTTAGACACTTCAAACTAATCCAAAGTTCCTTTCAAATTTACCCTTTCCCAGGGCAAGCAAACTATTCTTTGTCTTCTGCAGTACTTTCTTTACAGTTTCTTCCAATATGAGAAGATGGAAAACAATCGGATGAGTGGCTAATGTATAACTAACTATACAGTGTTGTCATTCATTCCACCCTCATATTTCACAAATTGATCATTGTTGACAATAACAGTTCGTTGATAACTGCGAATAGTTTAGTAACACCCAGTCAACAAGAGAGCGCATCTGTCCATCTTAGCTTAACTTAGGAACGAGACAGGAGCTGTGTTATTAGAGCGCCTATGCATCAGTTCATGTCTTAGTCTCTTATAACAGACCGAAGTGAACGTTTCTCTTCCGATACGAGAAGTTTCTTAATCATCGGGGATAAGTATTTGATAAGAATTCGATATTCTACAGTGACACACCTGAAACTTACATCTGAATCTGAAATGCCTCATGTCTCATCTTCTTCTGTTTTCGCATGGTAATTATTTCGGCTTTCTTTGTGACTTAAAGACAGTAATGAAACCTGCGACAAATCCTTGTCTCCCATAATGATTCACTTCGAATTGCAAGATTGTTATTGAAGTTTGTTAACGTTTGAATGCTGTTCACGTGTTGTCTTTCCTTTCTTTCGTTTACTTTTGGCTAAGTTTAAGTCCTATTCAGAGTCTTTAATCAGTCAATTGCTGGCTCGAATGACTTGGTATATCGAAGAACAAGAAAAAGTCTACTTGGATTATAATGCAACTACACCGATCGACAAAGATGTTAAGCAGTCTATAGTGGATGCATTCAATATTTGGGGTAATCCAAGTAGCAATAATGAGCTCGGTAAGTCTTTGGTTGCTAATTCAAGAGTGCTGTATTAGCGACGAAGGAAGAATTCTCCATCTTTTAATTCTTTTTTTTTTTTCTTTTTGTTTCTTATCTACCTATTTGATTATTTTTTGATCTTTGAAAATTTATAAAGGGAAAAAAGCGAAGGATGGGATTGAGGAGGCACGCGAAAATATAGCCAGACTGTTACATGTTTCCGCCAAAGAAATATTTTTTACATCAGGTGGAACTGAGGTCAGATTTTCGTATTTCTCCTTTAAAATGATATCAAATTAATGGCGAATGCTGTATTTCTCTAACATATCATTTGTTTAGACCAATAATTGGGTGATATACAATTGCATTGAACATCGGAAAGCAGTCTGGGGACGGGATTATAAACCACATATTATTGCCTCTGCCATTGAGCATCCATCGATTCTAGAACCGTTGCGTGATTTGAAAAAGAAACAAGAAATCGGCAAGCTTGTATTTTGATGATAAAATTTGCTTTAGTTTTAAGAAATTAATTGGTGTTAATTTACTACAGTACTTCCTTTCTTTACTTTACCCTAAATGAATATATAAGTTTTCATAACTTATAACCTTCATGAAATATTTCTGTCCATCTTCGAAATGAACGAATTCAGTTGCCGATACAATTTCCTAATGACATTTGTTCATCAGATCTGACTGAAATCAGCATTGACTTGGAAACCGGTCGAGTAAAATTAAATGATCTTGAAGAAGCATTCTGCGAGCGAACTTGCTTAGTGTCGGTGATGACGGCAAACAATGAAACGGGCGTTATACAACCTGTTGCTGAAGTTGCTGAAATTGCTAGGTTGTGTTTAAATCTCTTAATATATAATCCGAATAAGAACAAATCAGTGGAAGATCCCAAATTCATTTGAGAAAAATTCGTGAACTTTGCCGAGTCTTATAATAAAAATAGATTTTTCACTGGTACATAATACTCAGCACGCAGCTCAGTGTATCATTCGCAAAATTATATGATAATTTTGCGAATGCTTTCAGAAAATGTGAGAACAAATTTGAAAGTCGGATATTTGTGCACAGTGATGTATCCCAGGCTATCGGTAAAATTGATGTTAGTGTAAATGCTTTGAATGTTGATTTTGTGACCGTTACGGGACATAAATTTTATGGTCCACGAATTGGAGCGCTTGTATTAAGAGATGAAAGCAAAGTGCCTCTAAGGGCGTTGTTTCTTGGCGGTAATCAAGAACGAAACAAGCGGGCGGGGTACGCTATCTCAATTTTTAACGCAAAATTTGGTAGATTTTCATTTAATTCATTTAATTTTTCATTTTCTTAATTTATTGTTTATGAAAATTCTATTGGAAAATACCGAAATGATAGAATATCATTAGACAGAATAATGATTAAAAGCATCTATCGTTTTATTTTTTCTTTTGCAGCACAGAAAATACTCCAATGATTATCGGTTTGGGGAAAGCAGCACAAGTTGCACTAAGTGGTCTTCAAAACTATTCAAAGCATATGCAAAAAATAAGAGACTATTTCGAAAAACAGCTCAAAGTAGGTAGTTTAGCACATTTCCTATGACTAAACAAACAGAATTTCTTTTATGGTCGACATTATTCTCTATTCTACGATCTTTAGGAAAAACTCAATGATGAGATTATGATTAATTTCGAAGCATCGGAACGTTTGCCCAATACTAGCAGTGTAATATTTGTGAAATACGGAGGAAATGCTTCCGAACTACTCTCTAAATGTAAATCATTTATTGCTAGCACTGGAGCCGCGTGTCATGCAGCTACTGAACAGTTAGTTCACTTCTTATTTACTCCTATTTTTTTTTTAAGTGTGACATTTGTTGGGAAAGATCAAATAGTCATTAATACTTCATTACGAACGAATAACATATGTCCGTATCAGAGATTCATAGTATGCCCAACATATACCATTTCTTATGTCTTATAGTCTGGATCGTTTTATGTTAACTAGCATATGTTCCTGGGTTTTTCTCAGGAGAATCACTAGCACTATTAAGTCTAAAATTGCAGAGTAAATCATCTGCCATGTTTCAGAATGACAGTAAGAAATATTCGTTTCATATTCAACAGTCCGTTCATTTCTGTTGCAGGTGTTCCGGAGTACTGACGGCATGTGGTATTCGTGATGAGTTAGCACGTCGAACGGTACGGTTTAGTTTCGGTAGAGATTCAACATCTGATGAAGTAGATCGAGTAGTGAATGAACTAAAGGCGATTATGTTTATGAGTAAATATGGCAGTTCGCTGTTAAATGCCATCAACAAAGGACCGATCTCAGGTTTCTGATTCGGTGATTTCTGATTTCTTCCATAAACTGGGAACTTTGAAACGTGGAGATTTCTTCTTCAATATCTATTATATTAAATAAAAAAAAATTTTGTATTAGAAGGGACCTTCAAATTGAAAACAGTAGCTATGTAGTGTGACTTTTAATGCTAATACAATACAATTATAAATCGATTTAATCACATCAATTTTGTAAACCTTTTCTTGGTGCTTAACACCGTAAATTTTTAGTTCCTTGACGGATGATTACTTATATTCTTCGTTGTTTCTTTCAACCAAAACTTTTTTTTTTTGTTGGGGAGGGGGAGAGGGTTATTACTTATTTATGGTTCATACCATTATTTAAAGTATGGAACTAACTTGAATCATTTTTATCTTACAAAAATCCTTTCTTGATCTATAATGCTTATTATAATTGTTGTATAATTCTCTAAGAATTATTTTGCCACTTCTTTTCCTGCATTTTGTTTCACTTCATATTTATAGACATTTCCGTACTGCGGAGACAATGGATTGAGATGGGATTCATAGGTCAGTATAGATTATTTTCAAGTTGCTGCCAACTAGGTTCCTTCGGATTTTGTGTCATATACTTTGAAATTTGACAGTCTGAAGATTTCTTCATGATAGTATAGCTTTTATCTATGGTGTCAAATCTTATTAGGTATTTCTCTGGAATTCATGTGATTATCGTGAAAAGGTTGGTTGAATTTGAATTAGGTACAAACAGCAACTGGCAAAAGACTTACCTTGTGATTATTGCAAAAAGAAAGCTATGCAGGAAGTATTACTGTTAGCTTTAAACACAGTAAAGAATGTCACTTAATGTCTGAAGGATAATTTGCTTACGCTCAGTCTATACCACACTATTATAATATCTTTATGATAGAAAATATTTTGTTGGGGAATGAATGAAGAAGAGAAGAATATCTAGGAGACAAATTACATTGATCTTGAGTCAGGAAGGGAAAAAAACCCCATGTTGTGTATAGAAGGTTTATATGTATTTCAAGGATTGGGAGTGTCTGGCATAAATCGTTCTTAATTCTCAAAGACCATTATGTTATAATTACCAAAAATATATAAGCAATTGAGAAAGGATGGGGACAAATATCATGTTGAAGACACTTTATTAGGTGCTATTTATGAGAAATTATTGTAATAAACATTTGATTAGAGGATGAATGGGCAAATTTTAAACATTTGCCAATAATCAGTTCATGCAAAGTTTGAATGTTTACGTTTATAATTTGGATTTGGCGAAATTTGGAGTTTGCCACAATGGTTTATGTGTTAAGTTATCACTTTATGTTTTCTCTATTATGTGCGCTTCGTTATTGATTTGTTTGCATTAGATTATATATGTACGCTTTTGTCGATTGTATGTTAGCGATGCTTTACCTTTCTAATTAATTATCATTATGAATCTCATAAAAATAATCTTTCATGTTTTTCCTTGTGTTTTTTCTCTTAAAACACGTTAATAAGGAAGATATGAAAGGTCACCGCTTTCTTCATCAAGCAACTTTCATCGGAAAATAGGTAACATGGCTAAGAAAGATCTGTGAAACCAATATTATATTAAAGGATGCAGTTTACGAAATGGAAATCGTGACCTTATTTATCCAGTTAGAAGCGAGGTTTATTTAAGTGATTTCAAAAACAGGTCATTTCCTAAAATTCGATGGAATCAAGATTAAAATCATCTCCATATGTTTCCCGAATATTTTATGGTCGATGCATAATATATTCCGATGAAACAGGTGAGTCGAAGTGGTGAGCTATAATCAGCTGAGTAAAAGTGACAGGAGAATTTGTTACTGTCATATATATATAACTCATGTCAATTTCCGAAACTGATATATGACATATCTTCGGAAAGGAGAATCAGGTAATTAACAAGTGTCATTCTGCTCATGCATTTACATCCTGATTCTATACTGAGAACAGTTCCGTAGTTTTGTTACGGTATGTTTGATAGTGCTGTATAACAGACGAACGATGTTTGATAATTACAGAAAATAAGAAATTTACGACGAACGAAATGGAATAATGAGAAAATCGTACAGCGCATGTCAGGTGCGACGTATGCAGATTGTAAACCGGAATTTGCCAGAGCGCTGGTAGAACGGTTGCTTTTTGTGAGCAGTTTCCAATCCGATACAGGAGAATATGAGTGACTGGAAGGAATTGTTATACTGGGAATTCTTGCAAATTCAATACATGCAGAGACTGCAAATAACTAATAGATCAATCATTCTTTCACATATCGCAGAAAATGAAAAATGCATAAAAAAAAAATACATATCCGGCAATGCCTGAATTTCTTGAATTTCCTCTTCGGAACGTATGCCACGTCCGATTGCGTATTGGGAATCAACAATATCCGGCAAATTTTTAAGGTCATTTAGCTGAAAAATATAACAGTGCTTTTTTGGAATGATAAACTTTTTGCCACTATCAATCAATCAATCAATCGAATATTGAATATTGATCAGTTAAATATTAAATCCTTACTTCATCATCCGACAGCTCGTATCGATTAATAATGGGCGATTTTCTCTGTTCCTTATCAGTGATCGGTGAAATCCCACGTAATTCTTCACATTCCTCACGAGTAAGCGCCTTCTTACCAATCGCTTGATCTTCACGTACAAACTCAGGATACGCATTGATGTCCTGAAGTAGACCGGAAATTGTTAGGTAAGCACGGAAGTGACGTCATCTTCAGCAGGCAGACAAACTGGTGTCCAAACTGGTAAAATCGTTTAAAATTGAATATTTATATTACTAGCTGCTGGTGTCTTCAATTCTGGATCACTGCTAAAAATTTCTCGGAAAGTAGGGATTTCACAAACCTCAATTTCGGAAGGAGTGTAGCGAGCGTAAGGTTGTGTTATGTATTCTTGAGTGTTGGCAGTTTCTAGAAATGGTGGATTAACTAGATGGACGAGTTATTTTAAGCAGCCAAGTAGACTGATATCTAAACTAATAAAAATCCTCGAAAAAAGAGAGTTGATGAGAAGGATTCTGGATGAAACGTTATTCAGGAAATAACTAAAGAATATGTGACATACTTTTAGTGATATCAACATTTCCGAAATATTGTTGTCCAGTTGACAATCCTGAAACGATCATACCTAAGCACCAAAGTAGCCATCACATTTATTACCTTCGTGGTTGCCTTTCATAAAAAGTTATTTTAAAAACGAAATAAATTTTCTTCAGTATAATTAAAAATCAGAAAGTTTCAGCATTACATTAATTTGAGAATGCAAATATCACAATTTAATAGAATACATCAATTTCGAGAATTATATCAAAGCCAGAACAAATATAAAAGTAAACATGAAATTTGATTAAATTTAGAAGCCTTTCTACTTCTTATCAAATGAATGTAAAGCAAAGATATTCTCTCTCGAAGAGTAAACAAAAGTGGAAAGTGAAATTTCTGCAGGTATGAAAGACCTTTCGGAGAAAATGGATCCGGTATAGCTTTCATATCTGCCAAACTTTCCGCTCTGTATGGACCACTTGGGTTTCTTTCTGAAACTACTCTCTTCATGAACAATTTATTCTGAGATTAGTCTCTTCCAGCACTAATTCAATTCAAAAAAAAAAAAGTCTAATAGAACTAATTCACTTAGTTCCAGCAGTAAAGTGTATTGCAGAAGATAATTTTCCCTTTCAATAACTTAAAATTACCCAACCAGTGCCTTCCTTAAAGCAAAGATATTCTCTCTCGAAGAGTAAATTATGCGATGTACCGTAATAGTTCATAGAAAATGGATTTGTTATGTCACCAATATCAGTAAAGTTTTGTTTTTGAAATGCATAATGGTTCATGGTTTGTAAACCACCTGAAAAATGCCTATATGGAAATAAATTTTAGGTAACAAATCAAATTAAATAATTAAAAAAGGGGGTTAGAAGGCAAAAAGTATACTATCTTGCTAAATAGTTCGAAATTTCTTTTTACTTTTTTTTTTTTTAAAATTTGTAACTCATCCAAATTTCGTGTTTTCTCATATTCGAAGTTTTGGAAGCTAAAAAAGACACATTTAATTGCTAATGAAATTCCACAGAGTCAATGAATGATTTGCTACGATATCAAAAAATTATAATTTAAGATGGCGGTAAAAACCTGAACAATAAATTTTTCTTTTGCTTGTCTGATTCGTTCTGTTAGATTATAGATAGCTCTACCACCGCCTCGATAATGATTCAGATTTGGTGTGAAATATTCTAAAATGTGTGAAATTCTTTAGTAGATGAGTGCTTCTTTAAGAAATATCGCATCTGTGACATTTAAATTAAATTCTAAATACTTTTGCAGTAGAATTGCTTTGGTATATTTGCAATGTCTGTAATACTTTCAACACCATGCAAATTTCGATTGATAGTTTCCGTAGACGGTGACAATGAATTTATTCCTGAAATGCATTCTTCCTGATACGGTCTTAGACATGAACCACGAATAATGCTGACGCATATTTAATACCTTAGTTCCGGTATTTTTTATAAACCTGTCCTGAATGTATTATGAACATTCCTGATAATCACTAAATTCTATGTAGTTGTAATGATTGTTATCTGAATTAGACAATGTCTTTCGATCAAACATTATAAATTGGTGAAATCAATTAGAATTTGACCTGCTCCAATAGAAGTTTGTGAATGTTCAGCAATTCTCGGATGATTTGAAAGTGATGTTGGTGTCTGACTAAACTTGTTGGTAGTTCCGGGCTCAAAAGCACACGGTCGGATCATTTCCCGAGATCTCCCGGTGACTGCAAGATGTTTTGTTTGCATCACAAAGAAACATGATGCATTTGTAGCTTAGAAGAGGAAAGCAATAATGTTTGGTTGACGACATTGCTTGCTTACATTTATCCGAGAATAGATTCTGTGTCTCCTGAATTGCAGCGAGACTGTCACTGCTAAAGGCATTCCGTCCAACTGTCCGTTCTTCCGCACTTGCTGCCGTCATGGTATCTACATTATCAATAATAAGTGAGTCATGACGAGGAACAGCAAGAAATTCTATAGAAATTGTAGAGCAGAGAAAGAAATCTATGAACTTTTGATTGCTGTATATTCGCTGATTGAATTTTTTTCAAAAGATTTAATTTATCACTAACAAGTTAACATAATCAGTAAATAACAATTACCACTCTGTCTTAAGAGGAACTGATTCCGTGTACTACTGAAGTCTCGAAAATCGTTTGAGTGAGGCCTCATCGTATCGTTACTTTTTTGATCGAATGTCCCTGCAGCTGCTAATCGCATCCCTAAAGAAGCTTCTATAAAATAATACTTTCATGATGCCGTCGAGAGTCTAAGAAGCACAATGTTAGTGCAATTCTCAAAAAAGACACAAACTTTTCGGGAATAATAAGCCATGGAATTGCTCAGAAGACTTGTCGACTTCCAGTAGACTTTCCGGACAAAGCACACAACGCTCCCTCATTCCATCCATCTCTTCGGCTGTAATAAGGCTGAGTTTACCGGATAACACACAAAGTCTTAGTACTATAATTGGATATATCTCAATGAAAATTGAACACTAACTTAAAACTTTGGACAATCGCTAGAAGAACTTAGCTATAAGAAAAATAGATGCCCTTTGCCCTTTCAGACACAAGTGACCAAGCGATGCTGTCGTCACTTTTCAAAAACATTTTTGATTAAATCACTAATTTAGCTTATTCCCTCATTTTGCTGTCACAAAAAGACACAAAATATTTTTCTAATTTATGCATTAATTTTAAATGATTTTGTGTGATTTCAAATTTAAATAGTTTACTACAACTTTTACAATAACATAGAAATTAGTGGGAGCTTAATGGACTGCAAATATAACTAAGTAGTCTTTCTGTAATTAATTTTATGCTATGAACACTTGTTAGCTGTTAAAAGTATACTAACCTATGTCATCGGAATATTGGAAGAATTGTTGTCCTTGTGAAATTCTGAAAGGAATAAGTGAGAAATAATATGAGACATTCTCGAGAATTTAGAATAGATTAGGGATTGTGTCAACGGTTCCAGCAATACAACCTTTCAAGCATTCATTACCTGTGCTTTGTTGGGAAAGCATGAATTTGTCGTTGTCCAGAGATGTCATCGGCTGGCGTAAAGGTATGAGTGTGGACATTAGTGGACTGATATATCTGCAAATTGCGCTCGTCTCATAAAGACATCCTTCAGAAGATATTTTCAATGATTTCTATTAATTTTATTATTAATTCAGATGTCATTGAATTCATTTTAAGGAATTACTTTTTGAAAATGGTAAGATTAGGCATCAAAAAAAAAAGCGCATTAGGTAAGACAATATAAATTTCAACTAAAAATTGCATAGCAAAATTATATAAATGAATTTTTAAATTTGAAAATTCAAACTTTTCTACTTTATTTGAATCTTTCTTGGCTTTTTTCTAAAGTAATATTTATTCAACCTTAATTAGATCCTCGAGACTTGATAATTTGTTGATTTCAGTAATGTACTTCAAAGCATTCAGTTCGGAACTCCTAATTTCCGTATCTTTACACTCTGATTCCGTTGTACTCACACTGCTAAATAATTATTTTAAATTTTGTTTATTGAAAATAGTATGCTTTAAACAATAAATGTTGTCTCTAAGCTTTCTTTGAAAAAGGATACTATTCAAAAATTTGCAATTTGAAAATCCCTTAAACTTTGAAATGGAACAAATGTTGCAATTCGTGTAAAGTATCACTCTGCTAAATAGGGAACTTCTTGACAGAGATGTCGAAGGTGTCGTATCAGTGCTATCAGTTGATTTGGTGACAGTGTCATGACATGGAGTGGTCCTAGTATGGTATCCAGGAATGGTAATAAATGTGCTGTTGAGTTCTTCAACCTACTCAAAGGTAGTTTCAGTTAAAATTTCATTTCTGCTCTCTGTGACAACGACGAAACGAAGATCTTAGCAATCTTTGAAGATTTAATTTGAAAAAAAAAAAAAAAAAACGAACCAGTGCATAGCGAAATTGATTGTATCAATTCTTTCCTTTGAATTGATGTATGGAGAAGCATTTAAAGTTAATTTTTGAGTGTTAGTGTTTGAGAGAATGTTCATGGTTGCAGTGAATTGCTTGCAGATTATTTGTTGTGTTATAGAAGGAACCTGAAATGAGCTCTCACCTGGATTCTGATTAATCTTTCGAGTTTTTAATTTAATTTATAGAATAAATTCACTCTTGAAAAAAGTATGATCAGTACCATTCTGTAAACACAGTTTCATGCAATTTATATGAAATTTATAAGCAATTAACAAATATTTTTGGAAGAGAAAAAGTTAACTAAGCATTGTGCATTATTGATAATTGTATTAATAGAGAAGATGAGAGAGTCATTTTGTGTAGTTAACACTTCCAAAGTACTTTTCAAATTTTGTTTCAATTTGTTAACACTAAGAATGTTGGCAACCTTCAGATGTTCGCCGCATTCCTTCGTTGTTACTTGAATCTGAAATAGCAAATGAATGAGATTCAGTGATTTCTCATTTTTCTTCTATTTTTATGTTTTACTTTTTTTTCTGTAAGATTTTTGAATTCACGTAGAAGAATTAAACTTAAAATTATTATTATTATTATTATTTATAATTGGAAATGGATTTGCAAAATGATCAAAATTTGGTTTGGATTACAGAAATATTGAAAAATCTGTTAAGAATGAATTTCAAAGTTGTTTTCTTTTTTTGACAGTAAATAAGTGAGAAATAGATTGATTAGTGAGGAAGGAAAGAACTTACTTTATTGGTATACATCCAATTAATAGAGAAAGCTAGTAAGGTGGAAGACGTGAGGTACACGTAACGTGAACAGTGGGTACTGTCAATGAGAATTTTTAGGTAAAAACCTAGTAATTGATAAAAGTTTAAAATATCACGTTGCCCAGATATACCTTACGTATGCAGTTGGAATGTACAGCACCGATGCTGCTATGTAAGGAATCCATCTCAGTGGTACTTGGATCTCGTTTCACACGTAGTTCACGTCTAATGTTATTGCAATTGTATTCTTTCAAGTGGAATAACCTGAAATAATCAATTAGAAAATTTAGGTATATTCACTGATCCGAAAGGAGAACAACTTTACAGATCCCAAGCAAATCTACTGCTCCTGATCGATCGCATTTCTGTACTTCTTTAAATTTCCCTTCTGTATCCTCTCTCTCTCTCCGTAAAATCCACTTGTTATTTGGTCTAAAGAGTGTTTTAAATTTTCTTAACATATGAATCAATACGGGGAAATTCCCGTAGTACAACCAGAAGAACCACACAATCACCAAAATGGCATGTTCAGAGATTTTGATAAATCGAAAAGTATTACTTGTCATGAGAGTTAGACTTCATTATTCTTGTCACAATTTTTTCTCGAATCAGTAGAGAAGAGTGAACCCCTTTTCAAACCACCGTACAGTGGACCAACTGAATGTGAATAACAATAGGTCATTACACTTTCAACAATTTATTCATTTGTAATTGAATGTCATATTTAGTTTAAAATTTCAATTAAACTTGCACAACTGCGAAATTAGCATACGATCATTTGTTGTGTCAATTACTGTTGTCACTCTGTAAGCAATCGATACAGTTATGTGTTAAGTAAATAAACATAAATTATTGAATGTTCCTAATTTCCTTTTATTTGCTGAAATATTTTTCCGCTTGAGTTCCACAAAAAATTTTAATAGTGTGAAATAACCAAACATTTTTGTGACTTAAAATTTAATTAAAATAAATCTTCAAAAAGTTCCTTCAAATTGAAACAGTTCATTAACAGCAAAATGATAGAAGAATTGAATACAAATATGCAAATATGATTTGTTATGATTGAGAGTAAGTAAGTAAGTGATCAGTTGAGTGATCAGTTGAGTGATCAGTTGCGCCAGTATCAGCAGCGCACATTCTTGTTTTGCAGTCAACACAGAGTCCAAACTTTAAAAACTCGCTTCTTCCATTTTTCATTTTAGTTAAAATTGGACCCATCGAAAATGACATCCTTTCTGCCATTGCAGTGTTCGATTCCATTATTAGTAATCAGTCCTGCTGATCTGGCAATCAATGCAGATCAATGTGATAACCCAATCAATCAATCAATACTGTAATCTGTAGGAGATTGTTGTCACGAATTTATTATTAAGGTATGCAAAAAAATGAGACATTGAATGGGCGTTTTTTGAACAAATGAGCACATTTCATCGAAATATGTCATTTGCACTCAAATTTTAATAGTTTTGGAAGCAAAAATATGATTGAATTTTGTTTACGATTGATTTATACCATTGTTTTGTTGATTTTTTGTAGTAAATATAAAATAATCGATTATTTGATATATGATTAGGTTGAAATAATCATTCTGATTTTATCTTAATTGCTTATACAATTTTTTTTGGAACACATCAAATTTGTATTTACAATTATTGTTTCTTGCTTCATTTAATAGAGTTTAATTGAAATAAAATTAATAACGAACAATTGTTTCATACAAAACTTTTAGTTACATTCTATTTTCCATCTCCAAATTCTAAAATTCATGTTTTAGAAGTAAATAGATTTTTATATTTTTGTATATTTTGCAGATTAGTGGCAAATATTAGCTAATGGTGAAGAATCTGAGGAAAACTGCGGCAAATAAATTTAACAGGTGGTTTTGTAGTGGTAGTAGCAGATACCAGGGTACCACCGATGGCAACCAGAATCACCAAGAACCACTGGGAGTGAATGAGGAAATGGCTCTTCTGGAATCGAATGTCATCTCACAATCTGTCGTTTACGAAGTCAGGTTTCACCTTTGATTTCTTGCTGAAACATTTATCTGAAGACGAGAAAACAATAAAGCGCTTTTTTCCAGTCAGAGAAATTATCGGAAGTAAATCTGACTGCTAATTTATATGCAAATTGTAAACATATCATTTGAAATTATTTCTTTTCTTGTCCTTTTCCAATTGGAAAAATTTAGTCTCGAACTATTCTTAGTATCGGTGGAAAAGATGTCATTCTCGACTAGAAGTACCATCAAGCATGTGCAAGAATAACTTAAACTATGAATAGGTGAGGAAAAAAAAGCATAAAAAGTATATGAAATAGTTCAAACTAAGTAACCTAGTGAATATATTTTAGTACTGATAATCAAATATTTCAGTATTTTAATAAATTGGCATGATTAGGAACTTTTCCTTGATTGGGCTTCTTTCCGGGTTGGTTTAAGTAATATTATCTAAAGAAATTAAATAAAAATTTGGCCAAGATTATGGCATTTACAGTGCGGAATGTTTTGGAAAAATTTCATTACAAAAATTTAGCTAAGAATGACAAATTAGAAGTAATACTAACAAACTGAATGTGATCATAGCTTCAATATCAATACTGAATTTCCTAATTTATTAGAGAGTCGAGAGCGAGACTAAGCTATTCTAACATGCAATTAAAGTTTAATCATTTCCTGAACTGTTTTTTAAATATCTATAAGAGTAACTGATTTAATTTCAATCCTTACAACAATCGAAATCTGAAATTTCTTACTCTATTCAATTGACCTCTCTCAACTAGATCCATCCATCTCTCTAATACATAACTCATAATTACTCAAATCTGCTCATTTCCACTGGTAAATTAAAAAGGACAATAAAAGGTTAAAGGATAAGTAAGTGAACAACTGAAACGATCGTCCAAACAACAACAACAAAACAAGGAATAATAAAACCTAAATAATGACAATACACTTACTCACAAATTCAGATTTCAGTTCTTTTAATTTTACTTTTTGTTGTTTTTATTACGTTTTACTTCCGGAAGGATAGGTTAAACTACAGAAAAGCAACATTATGAAAATATTTCTTTATTTAATGCATATAAAATTTTTAAAATGGTATGGAACTCATAATTATAAGGTGGTTACTTGTGCAAATTAAAAGGTTGAAATTATGGCTCATATTAGTTTAAGAGATAGAAGTATGAAGATGATGTACAGGACAGAAGAGTCCATAGCAAAAAAGTACTGCCCAAAAATTGAAATACCTTTGAGCTGCTACTACTTTACATTCATCTTTGTTTATCATATTTACAGGTACTCAAATTATCACCTCAATTAAACATCTTACTATTATCATTACTATTTAATCAATTAGACAAACTATATTGATTAAAAGGCCTTTGGATAAACTGTGACATAGTGATGTGTTCACTGCTAGGCTTTATTAATTCTTAAGGAATTGAGCAAATCAATTGTATTTGAAATGAAGCAGTCAGTGAATTATATAACATACTACGATGCTATTTCTTAATTTTAAATCTGATTTTACTGATAAGCAATCAATTATTGATAAGTTGATGCAAGATTCAGTTCATTCTGAAATAAATGTTGTGCTGATGTATACTGTTGAATTTGTTATGAACTTAGGTCAGTCTTTTGTGTTATCTGAAAAGAAGAATTTGTTGAGAATTACTTTGTATACTTTATCAGTTCAACCCGTAATGTATCCATTTGATGAAATGACTCAAATGAACTTCCTGTGTTCTTCCTGATCAAAATTTCTTTTTTAGTGCAAGTAGAATTGCTGAACAAACTTTTACTTTGAATGTTTAGCGTTTGTTACTGATAAGCAATCAATTAAGTTAGCTATTGATAAGTTCATGCAAGATTCAGTTCATTCTGTGCTGTGAGCTAGCAAATTGAACTTTAAATGATGCAAGAAGATGTAGATCATTAGTTCACAAAAATGATACTAAAAAGAAACTTTCATAGAGAAAGTGCCAACATGGATGATCTGTTATGGAGCAAATTCATTTATTGAACTGTAAAAGAATCGGTTGAAAAGAGAAAAACATAAACATTGCTGTTGACAAGTTTTATGACAATGACCCATCTCTGTTAAATGCTTTCCATTCCAAACTCACCAAACGCTCGTCCCTTTCAGTACAAAATTTTTCTAGTTTATCGTTTTCATCATGGATCTTCATTTGGTGTTGTTTTGACAGTTCGATGGTTCGTATGGAAATGAAAAAGTTTGTAGCGAGTTGTTATCAATTGGCAGAGCACTGATTAGTAATCAATATCATCAGTCATCAGTTTACAGTTCAGAACAATGTTAAACTCTGTTGCATAACGAGAACATATCCTCTACCCTTTGACTCTAGCATTTTCTGAATCGAAACTACCAGAAAACCCGAGAGTATTACTCTTTGTTATATGCTATGTGTATGGTATCAAAATTATTTCGCCATTATTCTATTTCTTTACATTTTGAATTGATAATAAAATTGGTGATAAAAAACAGAGTGCCATTTCTCCTACATTTATGATAAAAATTTTATGATAAAAAATAATTTATGATAAAAAGCGAAACTTTTATGATAAAAAGCGAAATTTATGATAAAAATTTTATGATAAAAAAATAATTTATGATAAAAAGCGAAAATTTGAAAATGGAAAGAGAAAAGTGTTATCACATTTGCGCATATACTGAGGAGAAAATAAAGGCGGAAAAACCATCAGGCATTTATTAAATGATAATGCAATAATAATTGATCAGTTCCCTTCTCAATCGTTTTGTGAATATATTTGAATATATACTTATCAATTATCAGTTGAAGCAAATAAGCCTTAAGTTAAGTTAAGTCCAAGTGATGCTTATAAAATATTTGCAATATAAGATAGATTAAAGATTGTATGTAGCATTTTAATTGTTTGAAAGAATGACTTCAATAATCTAACTTATATAATGTAATCGTATTTACGCTGATCCTTCACGGATCTTTAAGTGACGGATGCGGTACGCGTGAATGCTTTTTTGCGTTTTCTTCAAGTCTTAAATCAAATTTAATTTGAATCTCCAATGAAGCATGAACGTTTGCGTTTGCATAACGATGGAAACAAGTTCTTGTTGTCTCACAAAAAAAAAAAAATTGCAAACGCGAAGTTTTTTTTTTTTTTGATAATGTTTATTTCTAATTTCTAAAAGAATGCATGCAGCAATAGCAATAGCAGTAGCAGTAATATTAACTTGTTCAGTGCTGTCCTTTTATCAGTACTTTTTCCACTCACAGTTAATTCATTTTCATTTGGTACTTTTTTGTAAATTTCAAGACTGTCTTGTTTTAAGATAAAATGACAATGCCGCCCGCACTCTCCATCTTCTCTTCTCTTTAATATGATTGTTGCCGACACTGATCGATCCTTTTATTTCAGAATTTTTCACTTTTATATTACCTAAGCAATCTCGAATATCATCCTAACACGTACGCTCGTCTGGGTACGTGGTTGTAGTAAAATAGCCTGGTTTCTTGCATGAGAAGCTGAGTGTAACTAGCTGAGGAAGGTTGAATGGTTTACCTGTGCTATCTGGCCTGGTTTACCTGGTGGATACCTTACATTTAGTGTTCATACCAAGTCCCAAATGTCACCATCAGTGATAGCTGTACTGCAAAATTTTGAATTCTTAAAAAAAAAAGCTCATCTTATAGCTAAGTCGAACTGTTGCTTCCTTTGGTAATGATATTCAATAATTCAAGATTAATTAAACAAAACATTAAAACATCTCCCTTCTGATCTAATTTTTCAAATTATAAAACCTATCATAAAAAATTCTGATACATGTTTAGTGTATTTAATTGATAAAAAAAAAAAATTGAATTTTCGGATAAAATCTGATTCCGGACTATTTATAGTACGAAAAGTTGAATAGTATCTAAGACTTCAGAAAAAAGAACATTTGTCGACCGATTTTAGATTTCAATTTTTTTTAATTTACAGATTACAAAAAAAAAAACATCGATGTATTCAAGAAATGACCTTTACTGAGTTTCATTTTAAAACTGCGCTCTGTGTATCTTCCGATATTGTTACAGTGATAAATGATAGAATTGTAACAAAGATGCGTTTTTTTCAGGAAATACCGGGAATGACTGTCGGTGTTTCTAAAGATGTAAGACACGAGATTCGAACTACTTCCAATCAAAACTTTACTCATTTATTTCGTAGATTTTGCTCCTCCAGCAGTGTCAAATTGGAAAATTGCAATTCGGTGGAGGATAAGGTCAGATTCAAAAGGAGGAAAAGATTATTTTGCAACATTTGTAAGTTTTCAAATTTTCTCCCTCATTCTTGATCTGATCACTAAAGCTTTCCCATCCAGCACTACTCACATCCTCTGCAAAATTCCTTATTATGTAAAACTGAGTTTGATCATTCCTATTTTTCATTTTGAACAATGACAGAGGACCAAATATTCATTCAGTCACTCTGTCCTCAAACCTAAATCGTCAAATTGTTCCAAAGTATTAATCAAATAGCTTAATGAAGAAGTCAGACAACTCGGCTCACAGAGATTTCAAGAATAGTTTTTAAAAATGTCCACATGAACAGAATGGTAGCTTTTCACCTGTAGATGGGATTATTGCCAGTATCGAGCACTTTTGTCATTTGGGAATAAAAATACATTCGAATAAGATCATTCAAATTTTTCTGTATTTTTAGCCTGCATTTTAAAAGTATTTGTTTACTTTTACTTAAAAGAAAAAAGTCTCGTAAAAATGTAAACTTGCACAATTGATGAATGATAAGAGAATGATAACCAGAGAAGATCTTAGATTACAATGACAGGTCAAAGTAACTGGGTAAAATTACCCGCAAAATGAATTATTTGACACAGTGATCGTAAACTTATTCGATGCATGGAGCAAATGTAAAACTGTTTGCTGCCTGAGAGTAGTCAAAAGTGATCGGAATTTCGGGAACAAGCACAATTCTTCCTTTGCAGGCCAACCGCATCGTGCTGTCGGGATGCTCCTGGTGGACTGGATATTCCTGGCCGGTCTTGGGGTCTCCATGGCTGTGCTTTCGCTGATACTGGACTACGGGGTCGATAAGCTGCAGACATGTACACTTGACACTTGCATCATTGTCAACCGTTCACTTTCTCAATTTATCTTGAATACTTAATTAGTAAGGAGAAGAAAGTGGCATTATCAGAGTGATAAGCTTTGAGTGATCTGACTGAGCAGTTCATCGTCTTGCACCATCCTTCAGTAGTAATTTCAGTAAGATAAGTGGTGGTAATTCAGAATGCATGAAAGTAAGCCGTCAATTCAGATCATGTGACAGTGATGGAAATTTTCAACATTACCAAATATGAGACAACTAACACTTTGATGACTTACGCAGCTTGGTTAATTTACACGATGGTACTGCTAATGCTCTCTACAACTATCGTGCATTACCTGTCCATCAATGCGATGGGTGAATCTTCATTTAAATATCTCGATTAAAATTTGATAGATCTTCCTTGATTGGTAAGAAGATGTACAGCAGAAGAATTCACAGTGAAAAGAAAGAATAAGCAAAAGATGGCAAATTTAGGATCCGGTATACCTGAGGTGAAGACAATACTGCAAGGTGTGCATCTCGAGAAACATTTAACATTTCGTACTTTGATATCCAAATTAATCGGTTTGATGCTTGCGATTGGAAGCGGTTTTCCGATTGGTAAAGAGGTATCGAATTTCTCTGAAATGCATTTTAGCTTCCAGTTCGTGTTCAGAGGTCATCGCCCTTCTCCCTAATGGTCCTGTAATCAACTCTTTAATCATATCATATCATATCATATCATATCATATGCAATACCTCTTGTCCTGCAGTTTTCAGAAGATCCACCTGTCTAATTATTTTTAGGCCGTTCTCAATTTATAGGGACCTTTTGTGCATATGGGTTCCATAGTGGCACATTTGATGAGACGTTTGGTAGAAGGTATTAAGCCTGCTTATGCAAACGAGTCCAGAAGTTACGAGTTGCTTGCTGCAGGATGTGCTGCAGGTGTTGCTGCAACATTTTCTGCACCTGTTGGAGGTGAATTTTCCAGTAAATTATCACAGAATTCAACTCCTTTATTAATGTTAAGAAAAAATATTTTTTTTTTGAAAGGAAAATTAATCATTTCTTGCAGATAGCTTCTAAGATTTACAAAAGACAAACAACTGCTATGCTGCATGTACATCTGATTTCAATTATCGATAAATAATTAGCAGAGATTAGCACCGGTTACGTATACTAATCCGCCTGTACCTTTGAAAGTGTTTTATAAAATTTAGAGAGAAATAGATTAGCATTTTTAAATTAGTTATTTTTTAAATTTTTTTTAAATTAGCAAAGACTTTAAATTAGCAAGATTACTACCGGTGACATTTTTTAAATTAGCAAAGACTTTAAATTAGCAAGATTAGTACCGGTGACATTTTTTAAATTAGCAATGATTAGTACCGATGACATAACTAATCCTCTAAAAAGGCTATACTGGAAGTCCTTTACATGTGTGCCGCACTCCGCAAAGCAGGATTGGAAAAGAGTTTGGAATGATTGACAATTCATCAAACTCTTTTCGACTTTAAAGGAGCACTTAATTGCACTTATTTACCTTCGAGATAAAGCGTCGCACTACCTACTACTCAAGGGAAAGTGATTGAATTACAAGAATCCGTCGACGACTTGATTCCGTTATTCAGGAGTTCTCTTCTCAATTGAAGTGACAACGGCATATTTCGCGGTTCGCGATTACTGGCGCGGATTCTTTGCGGCTGCCTGCGGTGCAGCAACATTTTCACTTCTGCGATTGTGGATTAATCCATTTGAAGGTCTGTCGTTTGTTTTCTCAGACAGAGACTTTAAAAGGTGACCTGAAATGCTTTCAATAAAGTTGAAAAATGACAGAAAATATTTTTAGTGACAGTGGCAGCACTTTTCCAAACAAAATTCAGGCATCTATCGTATTACCCCGAGGAACTGCTCATTTTCGCATGCATCGGGTAAGTATTTCATTTCAGTCAGTCTTCTCATCATTTCTTTCAATTTTCGAAATTAACAGCATAAAATGGAAACATCTGCAGCGGTATATGTGGCTTAGCTGGTGCACTGTTCATTCTCATACACCGTCGATATGTGTTGTTCCTTCGAAGGAATAACTTTATGAAGCGACTCTTTCAAAGACAGTAAGTTCACTATGACCTTTGACTCTTGATTCAGGATATTATAAAGCAGTTTCAAGAAAACAATAACTCATTGCTTATTTTACATTATTCGAAACTGTGTCACATCTGATTGGATGAAATTTACATTTTAGTTGGATAGTTTACCCGCTTACGATCTCAATCCTTTATTCAACCATAACATATCCACATGGTTTAGGACAATACCTCACTGGACAGGTAACTCATTAACTTTATCACTAATTGATATTAGGCTAGCAATTAAATAACGAAAAGCACATGTACTGCTATACTTTACCTGAAACAATTTATATTTTATTTTATAATTACTCCTAATCTGATTGCTTTACTAAATTTCAGACTGTGTTTGCACGCTCATTACGTGATTTTTTTGCCAACTGCACATGGCACGTGAACCCATTACACGTAGAAGCATGCAGTGAATTTTTAGTAATGCGTTGGAAAATACACGACTCAGTGTTCATTGAACTCGGAGTTTTTATCGTTGCTTTCGTAAGTTAGCTAATATTCGTGTGACAAGAGCATCTGTCCACTCTATGCTACCATTTGCGCCGCGCTCTCGTCATCTGTGCTTACAAGTTGACACTTGCAGTACTTTCTGGTAATCGTTTCGAGCACATTACCAGTCCCAGCAGGTATCTTCATGCCAGCATTCGTTATCGGCGCAGCAATCGGTCGTTTCATCGGGGAACTGATGGCACTTGGCTATCCGAACGGTTTCCGTAACGATCGGCAATTACTAATTCTTCCCGGCATCTATTCAGTTGTTGGTCTGTCTTTTGCATTTTCTCTTCTAGTCAAGCACAAATTCAATGAATACTGTTCTACTTCTTTAACTTCTGCAGGTGCGGTATCGTTTTGTGGAGCGGTAACACATACGGTTTCTGTTTCCGTAATCGCTTTCGAATTAACCGGTCAACTGTTACACATACTTCCTGTCATGGTATTTTCATCCTTCTTATTATTCTGTAAAAATAATATTACGACCGTTTATTTGTGATTTATTTACTCCATTTTTTTTTTTGTGCTTTTCAGATAGCAGTGCTGCTGTCAAATATTGTGTGCTCATCACTTCAGCCTTCATTCTTCGACAGTATTATCAAAATCAAACACTTACCATACTTTCCAGATATTCCAAAATCTACCTCATGGTATATTTTCCTCCTCCAACAAATTTATTTCACCGAAAAGGTACACAGAGTTATGCATAGGAAATGATTACAGGGTTCATGAAATACGTGTAGAGCAAATCATGGTAAAAAATGTGAAATTCTTAACGAAACAAAGTACTTATTACGAACTTCAAGAGTTACTTACCACTACACACAAGTTAATGGCGTATCCATTGGTCGACGATCCATGTGAACTTTTCATCTTATTGGTTACTTTTCCCTCAAAAATTGAAGCAAAAATTGTCAAATGTAAAACAAGAAATGTTAAATACAAAGGAATTTAGCATCGATGATATTGCTGGGATCGGTAAGTCGAGAAAATCTGCTTTGTTTACTGAATCAGATCGTAGGGGATGAAGCTCGACATGCCGAATATTTGCGAAGAATGCAATCAAAGAACCAGTTTCAAACCATGGAAGATGGAGCTTGTAAAGATGGATCTCTTGTTAAGTACTGCTTTTCAATTTCTTATTTGAAGTAACGATGTTACTTACCCAGAATGAATGATACTGAGAAGCAAGCGGTCCTAGGGCCTAGGATCATACTTAGGTATTCATATACCATATTCACTTCTAGTCTTTTCCCTTCTAAGCTTATATTTTCCAATTTACTCATTAACTCTTCGCTCCATATTTTTTTCCATTTTGTATATTTTGCTGTAATCTTATGGAGGTAAAAGGTCATCAAATGTCTATGATTCGATTCAGTAAGTGAGTAAAACAAAGCTTTCTTTCTTCTAATTTCCACAAATGCTCAAGTGCATCCCTTCCGGAACGTTTACCAGTGATTTTCGAATCCACCGTATTCAGTTTTCAGTTTAGTTTTCCGTCTATGAATAAGTAAGGAAGTGATTAAAACTGATTCAAATGTAGATAACATGGATATTTCTTTTGCTTCATTAAAAATAATATAAACTCTTTTTTGTACAAAGCAGCAAAATTTTTGAAATTATCCTTTCCTGATTTTCTTATCAGCATATCAGTTAAATTCATGTCATGAGAATGAGAATAGTCCTAACATTCCTAACATCTCTCCACAAAGCAATTTGTATTCTCTGAGAAATCATGGATAACTGGGTTCACAGCTAATTACTTATCTTTACTTGACACATGAGCGCCACGAAAAGATTCTTTCAAGTGCATATGCTAATACTTTAGTTAATACTGATTAAATTGCGGAAGTGTGAAGCTAAATGACGTATATTTCTGATATTTTCTATTTTCGAGGAATATATCTGATATTAAGTGAAAACAAAATTCTTTAATCCAAATATTCCTGCAGTTTCTCCATTGCGTCGGTTTTTCCAAAAATTTCATTTGCGGAAATCGAGAAACATGTAAATACGGATGAGATGCAACGATCACGGACCGGATCACTAGAATTGGGCATCAATCGAGAGCCGAAATTGAAGACATCAATGAGTGAGTACGATATGCGAGAATCTAAGGAGAGAGAGGAGAAGCGTAGTTTGAATCAAATGGGACAATTGCATCCCGGACATGACTTTCGTGAAACTCTTGGCAGTGAGTGCTTGCAGTGTTTAAAATTGATATTTGCATTCACATTTTTATTGCTATGCTTTATCTGCTAATTTTAATTTAATACTTTTTAGGTATGTTCGAAAAAATTACGCAAACATTTCGTACTAGGAAAAGAGAAGAATTGGAAGATTTAAATCGAGAAGAAGTGATTGCTTTTATTTCTTTCTGAAACCATTTTTCATTGAAATTAAAATTTCGAACGAAGATTTCAGTGATAAATTTTTGCTTTATGCTTACCACTTTGGAATATTCTTGAAGGACTTAGACAACGGTAATGTCAATTCTTTACAGCGTCAAATCTGGGAAAAAGAGCAGCTCAGTAAAGGAATTGATTATTCTTATACGACAATCGACCCTGCACCTTTTCAATTAGTGGAAGATACGTCGCTGTACAAAGTACATTCGATCTTTTCGTTACTTGGCATACGTCGAGCTTACGTCACTAAGTGTGGTGTCCTCGTAGGTGTCGTGGCTGCAAAAGAGGTTGGCATTCATTCTAATTTTGGTATTCCGTCTAAAACTTATTCAATTGTTTGGAAAGAGAGAGAGAGGGTTTCTCTCTCTCTCTCTCTCTTTGATTATTAAATATTAGCAGAAGTGAATTTCCAGATAGCATCAGCAATTGAACGGATACAAGCGGGGACTCTCACCGCGGTCACAAAACGACCCGAGGAGGACGAGTACGACAGAAAGAGCGCCACCGAAGCAATGTTTGACTTCGTGGAAAGTAGTGAAAGTGACACTGACAACGAAGATATCATTTTAGTTAGTACTTCTGTCAATTATTTATTGATTATACTTCTTTTCCTTCAAAAGAGGAAACATTTGTCTGAGCAAATCTCTTAGTAACCTTTTTGACCTTCGAAATTTCTTCCGTTAATTGCTAATTCATTGAAGGAGGAGAAGACATCTCCAGTAATTCTCATATTATCGTACTCATTTTCAGCCAAGAGTAGAATTTGACAAAACTACGAGCAGTGAAATTCTGGAGGCAAAATTTGCAGCACTGCGAGCTTCAAGTTTGTTTTCCATCTATTCCCGAGACTCCTCTGCTATGCTTTTCAAATTAACTATACTTTTCTCCCAAAATTTACATGACTTGTTACAGTTGGAAGAGAAACATTAACTGAAGATCGTCGGAAGAGCTATCCACATTTTCCGGGAAAATCTTGTCGAAGTTTTCGGGTACCGAGATATGGCAGAAAGAGTTGTGACATAATCCTGGAAAAACTGGCAAATATGGATGACCAGTTAGCAAAACAAAACTTTGGTCGCATGATCGAAAAATCCAAAAGATTTCGAGATTCGGTCTCTGAATCTGCATTATCGAAAATTTCTTCTCGGGAAAGATCGAGCTCAGGTAGGCACTTTCTTTGGAAGTCATCTAAACTGTTGTTATCGATTTCAAAGATAGTTAGCGGTTTCATGTTTCCGGTGCTTTTCAGGAGTAATTTTCAGGCAGTCCAAATGACCAATGCATTATGTCACCTGACCAAAACTTCGACACGTATCCAAAAGAGTCTTGTAGTAATGAATCAAATCCAGTGGCGGGGACTTCTGCGCCGCAACAAAGTGCTGTACAATCGTGTTTTAGTTCCAGTTTAAGTGCTATGCATGATTTGTTTATTAGGAGTGACCCAAGATGTGAAACAGGTAGTCCTGTTAACGTCACCACTACCGTCATGGAATGCTTTCCGGAACAAAATTCATCAACAAGATTTGTCAAATCGGATGCGAATGCAACATCCGTGTTAAAGGATGAAGAAAAACAATCCGTAACATTGCCTGACAATTCTTTTAGTTAAAAATTAGAAGATCGCATCAAAGAATTTCTTAGGTCTCATAAATCAAACATTTGTGTAGATATATCGAATGTGAAAGTAACTTTCACTTATAATGGATTATTTTAACACTATGAAATTCATTGAACGAAATATTTTTCATGAAGCGAATTAAAAAACAAAAAACGGAAAATAGGACATTAAGTAAGAAACCTGAAATTTGCACTTCTAAATTTTTTATCACTTTTTTTTTGCTTTTTTTTTACAGCCATTGCAAATATACTACAAAACAATGTTTATTATTATTATTATATGATGCATTCCAAATAATAAATTATACAAAATTATGGTTTTTTTTAAATGTTAAATACAGTTTCGCATGTGAAAATTGAATGTGTCTTCGAGATTTATGCTGTCCAACAGTGATTGCAAAAAATTTCAAAAAAAAAAAAAAAATTTCATTATCAAAATTTCGGATCTTTGTAAGGAAATTCTGCCTTTTAATCATTGGTATTTTGAAAAAAATAATTGTCTTAGTTATAGGTACTAATTAGAGTAAAGTACCACAGTCCAGTGATTTTGCATGGCATGAAGAAACTTAAGAAGAAAATTTTGAAAGATAGCGCAAATTGTTAGGCCAATGTTAGCCAATGATTAGAGATGAACGATAGTATGAAAGTGAAGAATGGATTAGTCAAGTATAAAAGTATGATCTGCTAATGTGTGATGTTTACCTTTGATAGAAATAAATAAGATATCATTGCAAGAAGTGCTTCTTCTATTACTTCTTCTATCCTGGAGGATAAATCGTATTTTATTATTTAGTTGAAAAAAAAACAAATTTTAGAATTGTGAACTAGTTGTTGTCCACGTATTTATGAGAGAAAAATTAAATTTAATTTCAAATTTAAATTTTGAATTTTTTAAAAATCTTAAAATTTGTGATAGTTTTCTTACATTTAACAAGAAAATTGGTTCACGTATTTATGAGAGAAAAATTATTGATGGAAAAAGAAAGAAATGCTTTTTTGGCAAGAAAGCTCTGTAGACAGATTGATGATGAATCGGTTGTGTGTGATACAAATCGTTTACTTAGGAAAATTGTTATTCAAAGTTTTAGAGCAAATGGGAAAAGATAAATCGATGGTGGACATTTGTACCTCACATTAATCACTCTGTTGCGCATTTACAGAGACATTTGCGCCAATTCCAGTTTGCTACAAATAGCGCAGCAGATAAAGAATTGCTATTCGTAGCATGGAAACTTCAGAGTTGCGAAAATCGCTTTGGATAAAGTGTAGTAAGTTATAGTTGTTCGAGATAAATCTACATGTACTGTTAAACTGATAAGATAATCAAACTTATCATTGCAGGATGGAAAACAGCTCGTCTCTGTGATTTCGGTACTATTTCCATTAGTTTAGTTGCATTTTGGTCTTTTGTTTGAATATGTAATTGTGAAAATAATCTCAAATTCTCGGATTAAGAGTGCTAGGAAATATTCTTTCCATTCCCTGCGACATTTGCTACTTCTCTTAAATTCTAGTCCATCAAGCTATCAGAAGGAGGGAAATAGAAGAAAGGTTGTTCCATTGCTGATAAACTTCTTTTCACTGATAAGGAATTCGTGATGTCTAATATTCAGAAATAAAAGTTATTACTTTTCTCCGTGTTCAGCTCGAAAAAAAAGACATATTTTGAGAGAAGGAATGCGAAATATTGCTTATCAGTAGGGAGCACTAATCTGTTCGTATCAATTTGAAGTGCAGAAATGTTCCATGTCACTATTATCAGCGAATATCATCATTTCTTCTCGAGACATTCGCACTTATAGGACGTACAAAATTCATAAGTTATTACTGCTGATAACAAGATTTGTGTTTGCTAAAAGCCAAACCTTGTAAATCAAAGATCACCAGTGAGAAATCTCGATCATATCAAGAGTGTTTCTAGGTACTGCTTTTTCTCAAGCATCGATCAGTAGAATAATTTTATTTTCAAAAAAACCGATAACAACTTAAAGCCATTCGTTATCAATCAATGCTTCACTATTTCTAAACTCTTTATTAAATGAATCAAAAAAGACTCATCTCGTTGCTAATAGGAAAATGCTGGATTTCTTCTTTGTTTATCTTAACGTTTTGTGATGATAATAACGACCAGTGAGTGATATGATAACATTACAACAAATACACATCAAAGAAAGCGCAAAAGTGCATTTTCGGTGACAATGTTAAGAGATGATATTAGCCAGGACTGGCTTCTACGCCTATTCACAACTCTGTTCTGTCATATATAACATTGTGACCTTCTGCTAGCAAGATTGAAATGAACTGGGTGACACTGTCACTACTGACTTTGCTAGCTAGTTGTAGTCGAGATTCTTCGTCAGAACTATGTCACATGCATAAGAGATGTAATTTTTAGAAATTCAATTTAATCTGCTTTCGAGCTCATCTTACTTTCATTTGTTGTTTTGGAAGGACTTTAAAACAAAGTGGCAATCTTTTCTTGCTTTCTTCTGTATTTGATATTAGTGAATGTTACTTGATAAGCTGTTAAGATTGAATGTTAAAAAACTGCAAGTTTAATGGTACTATCACTGAAATAACAATTTGATTACTATAACCAAAATACTCATTATAGAGTAATAATCCAAAAATAAAGTTAAGTTTTATTTTAAGTTTTTGATGGTTGAAAAGCAGAAAAAAAACACTGCTTTGACAAGCTGAAGGGTTTAAAAAAAAAAAAAAAAGGACATTAGTCTAAAACTGTGAAGGATTAAAGTTCAGACAATGTTGCTTACCTGTAATACTATTTGTCATCAGGCAAAGTAGATGAGGAGCATTCCATTCTCCATTTTTAAATATTTGTCGTCAGTGTTTCTTGTTTCTTGTCCGTGTCAACTAAGGCTATGACTCTGAGAGTTACAGTGCTCCGTTTTAGAGAAATGATTAAATGTTTGCTATTTTATTTGCGGCCGGAAGAGTTAATCGTTTTTACTTTCGCTCTCCCTTCCAGCGACATCGTAAAAGGAGAACTTTATGGCTGGCTAACAGCGAGTCTCGAATATCTATCTATCTGCTTGTATAAAAGCAAACAGTCATATTTGCTGTCTTATTTTCAGTTAGCTCTCATTGTAACTTTTCTGTTCTATTTGGTAGTTGCAAACAATGTGCTTCGAGTATTTAATAAAAATAAAATCTTGCAGATAAGATATCCGCGAACTTTTCAAATTGTCCGAAAGTGGAAAATTTGATTGTGGGTTTACTGTAGAGCACACAAACGTTTTATAGTCACTTTGAAGCAGAAGTAGGATGAATCTTGACTTAGATGCTAGCAGGAAAGCTCTTTTTCATTATTTTCTATAAAAGGGTCATTTCAGGATGCTGTCACCAATACTAAGGGCTCCCGACCACTGCAGCGCTTTAGTCCGAAGATTGCATCAATGTCGTCAAAGGGGTGAGCTTCTCGACTGCAGCATTCGTGTGGACACTATGGACGGTGACACTAAGCACATCCTTGTTCACAAGATAATCATACATTGCTCCAGCAATATTCTCAAGGATCTACCTTGTGATATGATCAGAAAGGTGCAGCACATCTGTTCGAGCTAGCACTCATCAGAATCTAAACCAAATTTGCACTGAGAGCAATGACAGAACGACGATATAGGAACTTTTTAAATGTCAACAGTTATATATATAATGGAAAATATTAAAATTTAAATTTAACACATGAACGTTGAAATAATCAGACAAAAAGGCTAAAATGTGCAGATTTTCAGGTCGGTTTGCAAGAGGTCAATTTAAATTTGAAATCCATTGATGAAGTCAATTGCCTAGAAGCTCTGATCAGTTTCATGTATACTGGTTCACTCGAAACAGCCAATTGTGAACCAAATATTGTAAATCTTTTCAGAGATAGTTATTAGAAATACTCATTCATTTCAATCTGCAGCTTTCAAACTACATGATCAAAGCTATTTTCAAATCTAATAATTTTAAAAAAGTTTTTTAAAATATATTTTGAAAATAAAAATAACTAAAATATATTGAAAACATTATTCCACCTTTTACTAGGTGCATTTTTTTTTTTAAAGGGGAAAGATTAACATTTACAGTTTCAATAAAATTTGAAATGATTTTTATTTGCTTTTTCTGTAGTTAAAAAAAAAATTTTCCAACATTGCAATTCAAAAGTTTAATTACTACCAACTTTTTATAGCTTAAACGATTAGCAATGCTATATGGAATCCATGGAGTGCTTAACCTGATGCAATTACCTGAACAGGATACATTACCAGTAATACATTCATCAGGTATCGAATGATTCAGTTTACTTCATTCGTTCAGTTCGTAGTCAAAATACAAACAATAACAATCTCAGCTTTAGTCTTGACACCGATTTTATTGTCCAATTAATTAGTTTGAGGGATGAAGAAGAGATGATATCAATTAGCAGAAGTGACTATAAAAATTGCTAACATCTGCTGCTGAAAGTTTGAAAGGATAAAGTTAGTAGTCTTTGTAAGTGCTGAAATTAAGATTTGCATATACCGACAGTTACTTCACCTGCAGCGGTGAAAGAGTGGATGCAGCGTGTCGTGCAAAGTATGCAATGGGTAAGAAATTTAAATGTTTCACGCCAAATAACAATAATTTCTTTGCTGCAAGCTTTTCACTAACTTTTAGACTAAATAAAAGTTATCAAAGAAACTTATGTCATTGATGCTTGCATCTCGTGCATCACTGTAAGACATTACTGCTCGTTGTTGCAAAGTTTCCGTTTCTGCTTCCTGTCACGTCATCTCGTGTTGCTATGTCACATAAACTGCCGTCACTCTATTCCCATTCGAGAATGCGTCCGCTTCTGTCACTTTGAGTTTGAGTTACTGCATTATTACTTTATGAATTCACTCATTGATTTTTTGGATCATAAAATCAATCCTTTTTCAGACGTACGGCAATTTACTATTCCCAAACGGTCGCAGCATGTTTTCTCACGTTTCCACGGAAGTTGTCGAGAAGAACCGACGAAGAAACCAGCATGCAGTAAGTTACACTGCTAACTGTTTAATTCATCCTTTCTTAGGACGTGTAGTAATACTCAGTGGTACTTTTAAGCTGCTATAGAGGCTTATGAGACTTTTGATACTTTTTACTTTATTGTTACTTTTTGGTAAGTATAACTTTTCAGTTTGATTCGTCATCACAACTGCAAACTCTTATCGATGAACCAGCAGCAAGTTGCACTACTGAGCAGATGGAGTTGTGGCGTCAACCGATAAGACGTGCTATAAGTAATAGTGCAGGAGAACAGAAAAGTGAAGTGATTATACCTAGCAGTGACCGTGAAGGTACTTTCCTGTCCTTTGACACTTTTTCCTGATACAGCTGACAAATGATTTTCCTTCAAACCGGTCAGACATGTCTGATGTTATCTGATTAGAAAGTAACGCTTTCTCAACCGTTCCTAACTGCTCAGCGATTGAGGTTGGTGTCGAAATAAGAAATACATTGAAAGAGTTCCATCCGGTTATATGTGTACAGTATGCCAAAAAGTATACGGTCGCTACAACTCGGTATCGTATCATGTCACAATTTATCACCGTAACCCACCAATACGATGCGATGAAGAAGGTTGCAAGTTTAGCACCCGTGAAGCGCGTTATATTCATTTCCACAAATTTTATCGGCATCATGTACCATTGCCTGAAAATATTGATTTAGGTAAGCTTTTGCTGGTAATAAACAAATTTAAATTTCGAAGTTTCTTTCTCACTCAAATCTGTTCGATATGAAATTTCCTTCAAAGTTTATTTCATTTAGGTTCTCGCAAATGTGTCCTGTGCAGACATATATCGAAGAGCCCTGCAATGCTCGAAAAGCACATAAGCCGACACCTGCAATGCTATACCAAAACTGGCCAAAACTATCAGTGCCCGCAATGCAAGAAGCAAACAAATTCACAGCAAGAAATGTTGGACCATATAGTGGTGCACACGGAACCGGAAGAACCGAGCTTTCCCTGCTCACACTGCAGATACCGGTTCGTGTCCTTTCTAACCTCTGAGCACCTTTCTCGACATTACGTGTTTCCAACTTATGAACAAGTGGAAATATATTTCAGAGGACAAACAGAGCGGTCACTTCAGCAGCACGTACTCTTCAAACACACTTCTGATATGTTCTCAAGAAAATTCACGTGTACTCATTGCTCGTACGCTTCTACGGATTCGATCAATCTCGCTACACACTACCAAAAAATGCACCCGCAGCACCAGCATCAATTAAAATAATAGCTTTAGCAGTCGATCCCACTATTTCCTGAGAATTAATCTTTCCAATATTTTCAATTGATTTTTCTCCAATTCTTAAGTTTCAGGTCATCTTATTAGGTAAATTCTTGAGTTCGGTGATATGTGAGAGACAGGTATTTGATATCCATCCCAAACACTGTTGCTGCCATATCTGAAAGATCGATTCCGTAGCACACAGATCTGGAAGAGGGGAACGTGAAACAGAAGTATTACTTGGATTTTTCTCATTTCTAAATTAATCAGTAATGCTAGTCACTTCACCTTTGATATAATAACGATAGACATTATCAAGATGTTTAGTGATTAATTTCAATAAAGAATGATAAAATTGTGTTTCGTACACTTTCATTAGTATTAATTCTCGATCATAGTTTATGATACATGTCTCGATGAAACCAGGTAAACACATAAGAGAATGAAATTCTTTACAGGTGCTTCAAATGCTAGACATTCAAATGCTCTATGAATATACTAATAATAGCTATTAAAGGGTAATTTGTGGGAATCATACAATCCTCTCTATTCTACGTATTTCTTCAGTGTGACTTTTGATGATGGACTGACAAAGGAATCTATGAAATGTACTCTTCAAAAACTATGAAAGAGTGGCGGAAAGATTAATTTTGTTGAATGAATATAGAAAATAGAAAAACTGTTTCCTGGTCATCGTTGATAAATAAATTTTTTTAGTTTGATGCTATACAAACTTCTACAATCTGAAAGTTTAGATTGCTGATCAACGATGGACAATTGGGTCTAGCGCTCGGTATCTAAACACTTATAATGTTTTGATAAACAAATTTACTATCAAAACGAGAGGGGGCGATAAATTTATAAACACGAAAGAAACAACCTGTGACTAAACTGGACTGTGATGTTTCTGGCTAATGCAGAATACCTTAATGACTGTTCGATGAATTTACATTCGAGACTGGAAAAGCGAAATACTTATTCGAGAAGTCACAGAAGAAGAAAAGATTGAAAAGAAGAGTTAAGAGAAGAGAGGGAGATAGGTATTTACACCTTATGCAAATATGTGAAGGTAAAAGGAAAATTAGCATACAGAAGAGATAGTTTTGGAAATGTCATCCGTATGGCACGGTTGCATCTATGAAGAGAAGCTGTCCCATCAAATTGCTCCGTCTATTGCTGATCTCTTCTACGAGCCATCTGACTACGATGAACTCTGCTTTTACTGCGTTGAAGGTAGTAGTATCACTTTCGGAAGACTGTTCAGTATTCTTTCTTATCACTAGTGGAAAAGTTATCACTGAGAATGAGTTGGGGACAGAGCAGTCGTGTCATGACATAGGTCACTATGACATAGGTCACTCTTTTATTTCTTTTCTGTGCTCTGCAAATGAACTTTAATCAACTTAAGCTTTTACTTCGGAAAGTTGCATTTGCATATGCTTTCACTAGACTAGAATTACTTTCTCGACCTTCATTACTAGACTAGAATTACTTTCTCTACCTTCATTACTAGACTAGAATTACTTTCTCTACTTTCATTACTTCCTCATATAATTTACCTAGACAGTAACGCACTTTCTCACAAAAAACTTGTAAAGCATACATTACTAATTAGTGGAATTTATGGCGATTGATGTTTGATAGATAATGAACTAAACAAATAATTATATACAAATATATTTAATCTAAGTATGAATAGAATGAAATATGAAATTCAGCAGCGATGTCACCAAGACTGTCACTGAATAAGGTAATTACTTGTATATGTGATGCAGGTGCATGCTGTCCCCATCATGAAATCCCACAACCACGGGTACGAATTCAGCACAAAAAAGGAACCAATCCGACGAAATCAGTTGATTATGTGTTAGACGAAATTTTCGGCTTGCAAAGTGATTGCTGTACAAAGTATGCAAATTATCAAATAAAAATCATCGAAAATTGCCAAGAAAATGTTGCAGTAAAAGTTCAACAAAATTTTACTGAGAAGCGATCAGTCTGTATCGATCAAAATATCACTCGGCGGTATGTCATCCTTACATTTCTACTGCTCTGATAAGCAATATCCTAAGCATTTCATGGTGACATCCTTTCACTTAAGTACATGTATACCTGAATACCTGAGGATTTATGTAATGAGATGATTCAGTAAAGTATATCTAAGCATATTGCTGTAAAGTGAGTATTCCTTTTATTACTATACAAATTGTAGTTTGTTTAATTTGACAAATTCGTCAGAAGCTGAGCAATGATTCTTTTCTCCAAAAAGTTACTTTATCTAGTTTCCGTATACGAAACGTGCGTGTTAGTGGATAATAAATTAGGAACAGTGTCGGTCATTTCTTTTCGTCATTTAGAAATGCGTTTGATTTGATAATTCTATTTAGCAAACAAACAGATACAAAATTAATAACGCCAGAACGTCACAAGGATCGATATCCGACGGACGTGCTAAAGAATAGTGCTGACGTTGCGTCGGAAATAATGTGCAAAGATGTGGAGGTAAGTAATAAGAAGGTTCGTAAAGAGGTGGAAGCATGCCACATGCCACATGCAGTTATGCACGACAGGTTTGCAGTTAGCATATTAAGCAGAGTATGCATGTTTTCAGGAAGTGTTTATTATCTCAAGACGACACAGGACATTATCTCCGGCAAGAAGTGACCGACAAAAATATCAACGCTTTCGAAATAAACAGTATCTCTGTGACATATGTGACAGTGCTTTCACTCTGAAACACAACATACAAACTCATTTGTTACTCTATCATCCAAATAATGAGGTTTACACGAAACGTATACGTGGCAAGCGGTACAGATGTTTGAAGTGTAACTCGGTACGTAGTTCATAATGTCCTATGAGTACACCTTAAGCTGAATTTGTCACAGGTGTAGACTGAGTTATCACAAGCATGTCATTAAGACATCCTCAGAAGGTGTAAATAGTGCTTTGATCAGATCTGTACTGCTCAAATTGCAAGCCACACACACACATACACACACATACACACACACACACACACACACACACACACACATACATACATTTCGAGAAGATATGAAACGAAGCGCAAATTATACTTTCCCTAATGACAAAGACACTTCAGAAAATTGTATACTTTTATGGGACAATTTGATAAGTTTATGGATATTGTAGTTATTTCGAACTTATGCTGCCGTTCAAAAGCATCAAAGACGACAACATGAAGTGCGCATACGACCAAAATGTGAAATTTGCCAGAGAGAATTTCCAACTGCTTCGCTGCTTCGTGAGCATGTGGCTGTCATACATTTGTTCGTTTCATTTCTTACTTATTAGGAAGAAATTTCCCGTAGGGCATCTCCTGGGTATAATTTGGGTAATAAAATAGAGTAGACCGTTGTAAAGATGAAAAGCGAGAAGATAGCACAATTCCACTTGCAACAATTTAGTTCATAGCAATATTCAAATATATGTTTAGAAATTTGCGCCCATTCAAATGCACCAAATGTTCGGCAGTGTTTGGTCGACAGGGATGTTTGCGCCGACACGATATGATGTGTCATTTGAATTACGTTTACGTATGTCCCTATAAACAATGCACACACGCGGGTTTCAAGTGTTCCAAAGTAATACAGACTAAATTATTGTTTTACTTGTAAAAACTTGCAAAGATTTCATCTTTTTTTGGTCTCTTTAAAAACAAAGGTTATTAATAAAAAAAAAAAAAGTAGTTCATTTCCCAGTGATATACTTAAAGGATACTACGTGAACAGACTTTACATGAATGCACGTCAGTCCAACGTGACTGATTCTTACGTTTTCTCCTTCCAAGTGCATTACAGGCTTTGGCAGCGCATATTCGCTCTATTCACACTCACGTACGACCGTATGTCTTTTCCCTTATTCGGTTTCAAAATTAGCCATTTGTAAGTTTGAGTTGACGTTCCTTCTTGCTAATTAATCAATCCATTATTTTCTGTGATGGCGTAAACGTAAGCGTTATCATCTTAATTTTCTTTATCAGTAATTCAGTCATCAATTCCTCATCTCATCAATACTTATCATTACCGTAACTTGAAGAGCAGTAATTCAGATATTCCGTGACGTTATCGTATTTCTGTTGATGTTTTGCATGCGTAGTTGATTATCACTTTAGATACAAATGTGAACAATGCGAGAAACGCTTCGTACGTCGGAATGACTTACGAATTCATTCGGATATTCATAATACAGAGTGCAAGTATGTCTGTCCAACTTGCAAACAAATGTTTCAACGTCGAATACACTTTCAAAAGCACGCCAAAAAATGTCAGTCAAGAGAAGTGGCATCATAAATTACATCAATTCTTAAAATTTACTGTCAAATATGCAAATTACAATCTTCATTGTAATTGTCTTTTCAATTTAATGGATAAAGGTTCAATTTTGAAATGAGTTTTGTTTCAACAGAAACTTCAACAAAAGACACCTGGAATCAATCCTATATGCCTTCTAAAGCATTGCACTGGGTAAAATTAATAAACTAATTATATTCAATCAATTACTTACTGAGCAAATTGGACGTAATTGAAATTGATTGATTTGATTGATCAATTCTAAAACAGTTATGAAAACAGGTGTTCAACTCAATTTATATGAGATGTTCAAGTAATTTTCGAAGAAAAATCCAATTTCTCTCTTCGTATATTTCAATTTAGCATTGTAGCTAAAAGCTAACTTTTTTTCTAATTCTTTTCTAACTCATCTTTCTTATAACAATAACTGGATGAATCCATTCGGATACTTTGAAATTACACAAACCAAGAAAGGCACATTTGAAGAAGAGATTCATTTAAATTTCAAAATATTGATCAGATCTATCAGTGTTGTAAATTTTATTTCTATATTTATAAATTGCTCAGTGAATAAGACTGTGTAATAATAATAATAATTTAATTTTAATATCTATCGAAAACATCTACACCTATCATTTGTTCACCTCACAAACATTAATCTTTAATAATTGCCAGGGAATGCAATGCATTTCACACAGTCTATTCATAATGTATGGATATATTGACGACGAAGATTGGTAATTGGTGATTATAAAAGATAATTAATAAATTAAACTATAAATCACTATAAAAAGAAGGAAAAATAAAATTTGTTAATGCGAAATTTAATTCGATTCACTTTTTTTTTAAACAAACTATTAATAAAAATATATTAATTTATATATATTAATTTATATTAAATATATATATTAGCTTATTTTTAATTTATATATCACTTTTGGAGTGCAAGCGTCAAACGATTGCAGATGTATCTAACAGGAATGTCCGTAACCAAAACGTGTTTCAACACTTTCTTCCGAGCAATGATAAGTGAGAACTTTTTCCTTTTCCCAAAGAGGTAAAAAGGACTGCTTACCCAAGCAAAGACTTTTTCAACTGAAATGAACTTTTGAAAAATCAGCCAGCTTAAAAAAAAGCTAAACTTTGTCAAATATGTTTAATTCTGAATGTTTCGCATAAATTCATTATTTCAAAGGATTCCACAACAACTCAATGAAAAATCAACAAAGTATTGCATACAAATGATCAACTAAATTGTATATGTTAATACAATTTATAACTCTGTCCTACTAACAATTTCGATTGCTAAAGCGTTGGAATTATAAAATACTGGACCCCTATCCAGGTTAATTGTCATCCTCATCATTTTAACTGTCCGATCTACTTGCTTAAGCTTAGATTTCAGACTATAAATACAAAGCAAGAAGCAAAATAAAATAATGAAAAGATTTAGATACAAGAAGCTACTTTGCTTCTCATCTCGATTATCAAAATAATCACAAATCAACTCCGTTTCACCATCCAGCAGGCAAACTTCGACACTGTCCGCAAATATTTCTCGAAAGAATCGAACTGCTATCTTTTCCTCGTCCACTTCTGCATCTCTCACGAATTCTGTCGAATTGTCTCGAAATCGAATACGAAGTCTGGATGTAATAACCGGAAGTCTTCCGTTCCAGGTCACTAATGCCACTGTTGAATTGATAGAAAATACTTGCAGTTTAAGATCAGGAATGACCTCCACAGAAATTTTTGCTTCAACTGAACCTACTTCAGAGTATGCTAAGCAGTGATAGGTACCGGATTGATTCTGATTGATTTCTTCAAAAATTAAGAATTGCCCTTTTGGAGTTTCAGTATCCGTTGGATCTCGCCATTGGACAGTTGGTCTTGGGTTACCGATCGCATTGCAAGTCAGGACTAATCTCTGTCTCTCCATAACAGCGGTAGCAGCAGGCAAACCAACTATCCTTGGGGGAGATTTTCCGGAAGTATGCAAATCTTGATATCTTTTGCTATTACTAATACATTTTATTCCTTGTCGGTCTAACACAGTAGTATGTCTGAAGTGCTGAAGCCATGTTAGATTGCAATTACAAAGAAGTGGATTGCCATGCAGGGTCAAACGCTGAAGAGATTGAAGCAGTTGTAGGTTGAGGTCATGCAAGCACGATAAATTACAGTTGTGAAGGTGAAGGAGCAGCAATGAGGGTAGAGACCGGAATGCGGCATGATGAATCTCTTTCAGTTCCTGATTATCATTCAGGTGAAGTTGCAGCAGTTTGGAAAGATTTCGGAACGAATTCTCTTCTATCTTTGCCATTTTCGTATCTGCAATAGTAAGAGGTAAAAAGTGAGTTAGTTGTACTACAAACTATCAAAACAACTTGTCAAAAAATATGTAATTAGATGAGAGCATAGAAATTTCAAACAAATTGAGAAAAGTGTTTAACAAAGTTTGACGAATAACCACATTCAACAACAGGTAAACAACAAAACAAGGACTAATAATGGTTATCTGCAGTAAGAAATTTCAATCAAATAAACTTACTGGATAAATCAATCTCCTGAATAACGAGAAGGTTAGCGAAATCATCACTTCTAATTGTTGTAATATGTGTCGAACTGAGATTTAACTTAACCAATGTTGATGCAACATGACGTAGAGTTTGAGTCGGTACTTCTAGCAAAGGATTCTGAGCCAAATTCAAATTTTCTAGTTTGTAACATTTCATCAGTGATTTCGATTGTAAGTGGGATATTGTGTTATTAGCAAGTGAAAGTGTTTTGAGACTTGAAAAGTTCAGCGGCAGTTCCGGAAGAATATCTTCGATTAAGTTATCATTTAAATAGAGCTCTTTCAGGTTGGCAATGTCCTGGGAAAATGACAAAGTTTTCAGCATGTTCCAACCAAGATCTACTTTTTGAAGAGAAAACAAACTTTTAAATGCAATTGCGGAAATGTAAGAAATTTGGTTGTGCGATAAATTTAGTTCTTCCAAATATTTTAGAGATGCCAATGTCTCATCCGAAACACTGCGTATTTTATTATATGCCAAATTCAATCGTTTTAGGTGATAAAACCCATCGAAACTTGGGACATCTTCCAAATTGCTGTGAGAAATGTCTACTTCTACCACTTCCGAAGGACTAAATTTGTAACTATCCGAGATGGGTTTGACCGAGTCATAGGACTGCGAATCGTTGAGAATCGTTTCGAAGGGAACAAATCTTTGCAGCGTGGAATGCGAACAGTCCATTACACGTACATTTTCTCGAGAATAACAGCGACACAGTTCGGGACAAGGAGTGGTGCCACAGCCACGGAAGCAAAGCACCGATAGGCAGAATAGAGCCAGAAGACAGGACAGGCCCATTGCTTCCAGCGATAGTGAGCCTGAGAATTGGCCAGATAACAGAAAACAGGTCGGGGTGGACTGCTTGCTTAGGTAGATGAGTCGAGAGTGAAGCACAAAAGTAATCAGCGAAGAAATGAGACGAGAAAATAGAAGTCGACGCAACTCTTCCTTGACCTTTTCTAGTAATGCGAATCTAAAGAGACCTTGCACTTTCCGATTCTCTTCCTGTTCATTACTCTTCCCTCTGACCTCTCACCTCTTACGATTGTTTACTATGCTATGCTGTCATCTTGATAAATCCAAATAAAGCAACTTTTAATGTTAGTAAATTTTCTTCACTTTCTCATACTTCCTAAAGTTTTTTCACATGAATTTGCAAAAAATTTCTATCTTCTTTATTGATCAGAGTCAAAGTTTGAATTGAAAATTTGCGATTCGCGATCTTCTGTTTATGAATTTATTACAAATTTAGTTTGCAATAAATAACTAATAACAATATTTCCACACCAAACTTGACAGAACTGTCCACTCCTTCATCAAATTTCAACTCACAGTCGTACTTCACCATTGACCCCTCCATATCTCGGGTCAACCAATCGATTTGTCCTCTAATCCAAGCAAAGGTCACAGCGTCATCCTCCAACCTTCAAACAGCGCGCCTTCCGCAGAACACTGCCAAACTTCACATCGGCTCATTATAGTGTGGCGATATTCCCCTCGGGATACGGTAGCGTGTTTAGGATCAGAAGGAGGGCTGCTTGACGGAGGTTCGTTTTCATTCTTTCGATTTGACAATTGGGTCTGTTGTCCTTGCTTCTGCTGGTACTAGTGTGTTGCACTGACACGTGACCTGAAATCGACGTGGCCCTGAAATCGATGCAAACAGAGCAGCAATCGTCTGAGACTGCGTGTTCTTCCTAAAAGTTAACTCGTTACTTGGATCAACGTACCACCTGGAGACATCTGCTTTTCCCGTGATTGTGTCAGTTACACGCACACGTACATAAATACGCAGAACTGTGCATTGCGCGTTTACTAGATATGTAAGTACTTCTAGTTGTTTTGTGCAGTAATCTCTTTTTTCTTGACTTTAGTTCAAGTGTTAGTGAGCCTGATGGTTTGGTTATACGAATTTCTTGTTGTTAAGTTGTTGAGCTAGTGCAAGGCAAACATAAGGTAACACGTGGTTAGCGTGAATGTGTCAGCTAGAACTGACTGGGGTCACGCTTGATTCGATAAATAGTAACTGAAAGCTTGACCTTTTGAATGGATAAAGTGGTTGAGTGGGACAGTGCGTTGTTTGTCATGGTGAATGGAATGAATCATATATTTCAACCCACCAAACACAATTTCGTAAACAATTGACGTTACATCATCATTATTAGAAAGTAGGTAAATTTGTGGGATCGTGACTTATGAACTTAAATTCAATATATGTGGTAAGAATAAAATTGCCATGTAATGGGTAATGTTATTTAGGTTACAGTATTGTCTGTCAGACATTGCAAAAGTGTAAATATGTAAAGAAAATTATTTTTGCCGCTAATCGTAATTGACTCTATAAGTTAACTTGATAATTAGCATGCTCAGAACTGTTTGGTGGAGTATTTTTAGTGTTTTTTACAAGTGAGATATATGAGGAATGGAAGTTCTATTCATCAGACATCGTCCACTTTTTTCGACTCATGTCATATCTACATTATTATATGCTACTTTTCTTTTGATATTTGTTTATCCTTGTAGTATGTTCTTAAAGGGTATTATCTGTCGGATGGTATTTGTGTGTATAGACAAAATAAGTATTTTTTTTGTCAATCAGAGATTCGTTTATATGTTTTTCCTAAGAATTTGTTGTTTTATATTAGTGATTGTCGCCAAATTATGGTTGAAATCATTTTTCAGTGCGCCATCTCCTGTAGGCCATGGCAGAACACGAACACGATCACGATTTTCATACGGGCGATGCTGGTGCTGCTACAACATATCCGAAGCAGTGCTCTGCTCTTCGCAAAAATGAAAACGTTATGCTCAAAGGCCGTCCGTGTAAGGTAATTATAATTTTTCAATTTATGGAAGGAGTTAGTCATGTCGGTTGGTAATGTTAATCGAATCAAATAAATAGAATAGGAGTGTTCTAGTATACGTGAATAATTCCAGAATTTCCGACACCTGTAAACTATAGTTGGTTAAGACTTCGGAATTTTCTTCCTTTTTGGTTTTGTTTACGATAAACTTTATGCCGTTTTCATGAATTGGTTTCTTTGCAGAGAAAAAGAGATGAAGGGAGGGTGGTTCTCGAATTATTAGAGTAGGGTGTTTTAAGAATCTTCTCTCTAGCTCTTTTGTCAATAAATAACTTCAGGTATGGGATTTCTTAACGGAGATACGATTATTATTGATGATATTAATTTATAATCTTTGATGTTTACTTAGATAAAGCTATATGTATTCAGGTTGTTGAAATGAGCACTTCAAAAACTGGTAAGCACGGACATGCCAAAGTTCATCTTGTTGGCTTGGATATCTTCACTGGCAAGAAATTGGAAGATATTTGTCCATCTACTCATAATATGGATGTTCCTGTAGTGAAGCGTAAAGAATATCAGGTTTATTCACAGTTTTTTCTTTTTTTCAATATAATAGGATTAATAACTTTCTGTTGCATCAGGGAAATTTGCATAGCTAATAAATGATTAGTTTCAATGCAAAATGTGAAAATAACATTTGAGAGTGAAGGTGTTCAAACTGAATAAGTTTATTCTCATTTATGCTAACTACATTTGCAGCTCCTATCAATAAATGATGATGGTTATGTCAGCTTGATGGATCTAGATACGTGTGAAACAAAAGATGACTTGAAGTTACCTGAGGGTGACTTGGGAGATCAAATCAAACAGGCATATGAAAAAGACGAGAATGGAATATTAGTAAGCGTTTGACCATTTGACTAAGAAAGAGAGCCCATAGTATTCTTGTTATGCGCACTACAAAGAAATTCATTTATTTAATGCCTTGTAGTAGTATTAGCAGCATAAAGAAGTATTTTGTATGTGACGCTTATGAATTTTAAGTGTCTCGTTGTTGCTGCTTGCGGTGAGGAAGCGATACTCGGTTATAAGAATATGCCGAACAAGGAAGAAAAATGAAGCCTTTGGTGATCGGTGCTCAGAATTGTCCATGTCATTGTTTGGTTTGAGGACACTTATCGAATGTTACGTTTCGCTTTTTTTTTTTTTTTTTTTTTGTGGGAAGGAGAATATATCATTGCATCGACTTGTTCCCATTACCTGCGTTGGCTACTTTTTGTAGTGTCAGTCCGTCATACTTGGTCATACGTCATATACCGTCATAAAACTATATTTTTCTGTTATTGTAATCATTTATGATTAATTAATTGGTCGTGCTTACTGTTGGGGTTATATGTATTATTATTATATTTGCAACAATCGTTGCACAATTCCTTTGTGACGTTCTTAAATTTTTTGATTACTTTAATTTCAACTGAGGTGCGCGGACAGACCTTTCCCTTGCGTCTTCTTTTCTGCTTTCAATCTATATGACCACTTGGCAGTATTTTAAAAAGTTGTTTTGTTGAATAAACTATTTAAAGCATTTTTTCGTTTCATTAATTAAATTAGTCTTCTGTCTCGCTCAGCATTGAGTGAATCAAATTCAAAAATGGCTATAATACGTGCAGTGGTTTTGTCACGAATGAAGTCTGCCGCATTAGTGAAATTTACCGTTAGTCGAAATGGTTTTGTTTCTGAAAAGCAAGTCAGAAATGCTTACGCCCACATATAGCTGGACAGAGGTGCATATGATGTATGAGTTCAGCCTAGCTTTTAGGGCCGTGAAGGCATGAAATACCATTCACGGCTTTTGAGTGGCTTCGTTGGGAGTGGTGTTTTATTAAGCAAAGACATAAATCTGAAAGAAACTTTCCGAAGCATTACTGCACTTAGAAGTACTATGCAAAAGCAATGCAATTAACTTTCCCTGTATTTTCTTATCGACTACATTTTTCTGGATTCAACTTGATATAGGGAGCACTGGAACTGTTAGCTTCGTCATGAAGAACTACAAAGTCCTCAGTGCCATTCAGTATTTCCTGAACAGTGATAACAAGAAGGAAAAAGTTTTAAAAGCATGTTAGTGAGTGAATATCTAAAAGAACAATACAGGAAATGTCATTTCTGGTCTGTCGCGAATAATGTCGTGGAAGTGTACGATTTATTAAAGAAATCAGAACTTCGGCCAAGGGCTGGTGCTCGTTAAGAATGTTTGTACGTCTTCTCATGTTGCTAACCTAGACTTATACAGTCAACACCGTGACTCCAAGCCTAACTATCAGTGATCACTGTCGTTCGTTGGTGAGAAAATATAAAAAGCATACCTGTACGATTGATTCGTTCTTCCCACTAAAAATCTTTTCGACTAACCTACAATTATTCGATTACTTTAATATTCGGGAATTGCCGTTAGTACTGAGAAAAACTATTGTGATGCTATCTATATTTGCTAAATGCCAGTAGAAAGGCCTACTTCAGCTTTGTTTACATCTAAAAGAGAACATCCGAAAATCAAGTCAAATGTTGATATGCATGGAAAAGAAATTTTTATACGGAAAAGAAACCAAAAGAACAGATGATGATGATATACCATCAATTTTTCCGTCTCAAAAAATGCATTAGTTTCTCCGGAAATAGTACACTGCTGGAAAATGATTCCTCTTCCCCTCTCACAATATGCTGCACAACTTTAGGAATAAGCCAACAATTTCGAGATTAGCATAAACTTACTAATTCACTAGTAAGTACCATTCACTGATCAAAAACATCCATTGCGCTGATGAAATTTACATAACTTTTCTTAGCATTGACCATCACCAAGACGAATTCCGTTCTTACTTTCAGCTAATCTTTTATAAATCAGCTTGCTATTATTTCTTCTGTAAAATCGATGGACGACTGCTGTGAAATGAGGTATCATTCACGGTAAACACCTGCAACACGGTAAACGTTCAGATCTTCAGACATTTGTCTGAAGTATTATCCAAATTTCCTTGGAAAATTTTTAAGCCAAATATTTTCAGGTAATTCGATATCTTTACATTTGTAATGCTTGTAACACTGTGACTGTCACCAATAGCAACAAATTTACACAAATCCCCTGTATGCCTTTTCTTGTGTAGGCATGACATAACTCCTTATATCCTGTGCTGCTACTTCACATGTTTCCAGAAGATTTTGATGAATGCATCCGGAAACTACAGATTTCCGGATGGAACAGATATGCGACAAGAAATACACAAATGAATTGTTCTATGAAATTGAAATTGCATGCGATGATACATGGCAGGAGTCACAGTGGCATCACTGTATTCCAAAAGTAGCACACACACATACACACACACACGTACATACATACGTACACACGCTCGTCCTCACGTGTTAAGAAACTACCTGCTCGGATACTACGTCATCCACGCAGGAATCCAACTCGATCTAGTGAGAAAACCGTGTCGTCATTGTCATCTAGCGAGAACGGCTCCTGCTTTTTGTCTTCCCGATTTGATAAGGAAGCGAGCGGGCTGAGAAGGTGTGGCGGAGAAGTAATAGGACTGCGATATCGGTTGGCGGTAACTGACTCATCCGTTTCTCGAGAGATATCCGACTCATCCGTTTCTCGAGATGAGAACGAGGGGAGCTTAAGTCAGCAAGTGCTTCTCTCACTTGTGCAGCGCTTATTGTCGCTTGTCCACTGATTCGAGTGTTTGCTTACTTCACGGATGTGTCGTCCGCTTGTCATAGCATTAGTTCACTTCTTCTGAGAATATTCATTAGATTAAGTTTAATGGGATGATCGACCAGAGGGACACTATCTTTAGAGCAGAGATCATCGCTTTACGATTGTTTGATTCAAATTTTTGTCCCTGAAGAGGAATGGTGAGGAGTGTGATGTGAAATGATTGAGCGATTAAAATTCTTTTTTCCTTTTTTCAGATATGGAAGCGGAAGCAAGTAGTTCTGATGGCTCAGTAACAAGTGTAAGTTTTCTTAGAAAAACCATATGAAATATTACTGAATTGCCGTTCCATAACTTTTTTGATTGCAGCCTGTGCCACCGATAATACCGTATGAAGTGAACTCGATGATACTTTGTAGCCATACCGACAATCTTTTTTATGAAGCTAAGATAATCGCTGTAAAAATACAAACAAATGGAGAGTATGTGTATACTGTTCACTATCAGGTTGTCTTCTAGATCTTACCTGTATAACTTTTACGAGTAGAAATAGGTGGAAGAAAGTGTGTTGTTGAGCATTGCGCTGCACTTTTGTGGTTTTACAGTAAAAGAGAGAAGTATACTTCATCAGGAGAAGGAAAAGAATTGTAGACAAAGTAGTGAAAAACATTGTTGAAACACGTGCATCTATTATTAGGGATGGAGTAAACGATACGATGAAAATATTCCGCACAGCAGGTCTGCAATACGATTCCGTCCGTTTACAGCGGAAAATATTGAACTTGCAAAGGTAATGTCGGTATTTTTGTTGTGGCATTTATTTTCATAATTCAAGTATTACGAATTTAATTTCTTAAAAAAAAAAAACTTATTTATGCAGCTTATATTATGAATGATTTTAATTGACCTAAAATATATTGCACTGAATCTTGGTAAGCTGATTTTATGAAGTTAGGATGATAGAAGTCAGGTGATTAGCTATTGCTCAATATCAATGGACTGACTGTGTAATAGGCAGAATAGTGATGTCATATTTAAATATATTGGCATGTTTAGATTGAAATGAGGGAGGCGAAAGCTCGAGCTGCTGAGTTAGTTAAGAAAAAGAAGCCACAAAAGGCAGAAATTCGGCGTGGGCGCTCGGCTGTACAATTGTCAGAGTCTTCTTCCAGTAAGAGAATTTGTTAAATATTGCCGCCTTCAGATGTGTTGAAAATTTCTCTTTTCTGTTGATATCTGTTACAGTTGTAGTAGATCATAAATATGTATTTTTTAAAGGATGATGTTTTTTCAATTCATTTTTGTAAGTCATGCCTTAGATATCTTTAGAAGATCACTAATATACATAAATTACGTTTTTTTCTAGATGCTTCTCGAGATACAAAACTGCTAGTCAGTCACAGTGTCTTTGGGGATAGTTCAACGGATAGTGTATCTAGAAGTTCATCCACCAATGAGGTCAGGAAACAAACGAACTTTTCAATTATAGCAGCATCCTCTTTGGACATTCTTAATCAGCTGAGCATCAGCCAATTTCCTGATGAAATATCTTCTTTAGAAAGTTCTTTAGACAGTATCAATTCCTGAAAAACTCAAAGCTCTGCTAGAAAATGATCGTCGTTTGATTGAAAGCGAGCTGAAATTACCGCGCCTGCCATGCCGCTTGACTGTTTCAAATATTATGGAAGAGGTGAGGTATTAGGGATTACTAGTTTACTAATCTAGTCAAGAACCGTTTTTCTGAAGAGACCAGTAGAAATTAAATCTGAAATTAAAATCATTTTGTTGACAAAGCTAAGTTAAAATTTGCTTCCAGATACCTAGCAATTTGCATGTTTCGGTTGTTTATATTTTGCCAAATTTTTTTTACACTGAGCAGAATTTGTAAGGAAATTGGAAAATTAGACGGGTTGAAGATTGAGCAGGAATTTCTATCAATTTCTGTGCAACAGTCCATCCACTGCAGTATGTCATGCACGTGCGAAAACTGGATGCAGTATGCTCAGAAGTTAAAGTGCATAAAGGACGAGCACGATACTGGAAAGGTGTTGTGGCCGCGCTAGACGAATGTGCAGATAATATGAAAGTAACTCCTTATAGGTCTCTTTTTAGAACTGAATTAAATTGTAGGTTAAATTTGAAATATTACGACTGATAAAAAGATAAAAAGGTGTTAATTGGCATTATTGCATGTGAAAATCTTTCTCTAAGATCAATCTGTCTGGTTTGATGTAGAGTACTTTGTCCGAGATGTCAACTGGAAAAGAGGCATGTTTTCATGAGTCCTGTAATGTATGTTTTGCTCTAGAAAATATAACTCTTTACCGGTTATACTTTTTACACCTCCGAAACTTGTTGTTGCAGAGTTTTTTCGATCTGATTATAGCATCTGACATATTGTACGCAAACGAGAAGTTGCGTCATAAGGACCTGACTGAGGAGACTTCAGGAGTTATTCATCTGTACAATATATCAGGTTGGAGCGAGCATTTATTACATATAAAGTATTTTTTTATTTAAAGAGCATTATGTTTCAAAGAAAGTTTGATGCTTTCAGTGGATTTCAGATCTGTTGAATGAACCAAAAAAAGGACTTCGGGCATCGGAATACTATGGTTTTATTTATTTGCTCCGACTACTTATTAGGTTTCCAGAAATGATCGAGTGAGTTGGAACTATTTGATGTAAATCCTCATTTGTTAAAATAGGAAAAAACTGCAAATGGGAACCTCGAATGCCTCCTTCTGGCTGCTCATAATTCATTTTTAGATGTATGCTGTGCGACAACGATTCGAAAGAGATTTTAACTGTTTTTGTCCAGTCATTTGTTCGTTATTTGGGGAGCAATTCTGAGAAATTTTTCGATCCAGAGCAAGACTATGAAACCGTCACTGAAGAGTACAAGTTGCGCCTCTTGCAAAACTCTAAAATTTAGCTGCAGTTTCACTGTTGCAAATGCCTAATTATATTATATATCCAAAGCAAGTCTTTGCAAATGTATGATTTTCATAAATTCTTTTAGAATAGTCATGTTCGATGCTTCTGTATTACATATGTTTTATCTGTAATGATTGATGTCAGGTAAACTTAAAAGAACAAAAAATACTCGTCAATCAAAGATCACGCCAGAATGATGTGTTACCAACAAGTCATTTTAGGTGCATGCATTACATGCTTAAACTTACCTACTTGGCCTGCATTTTCTTAAGGGGAAAAATTATGGGAATATCATTCAGAGATGAATGATAACGACTGCTCGAAGATTAATATTTTATAACTGACGAGACTTAAATTTCACGAAAATTTTGTAATTCAACATCCTTTAGACGTAAATATTAATTTCACACTGGAAAACTTGTTTTCCTTTCTAATTGTTTAGAATTTTTCTTTTGATGTTTTTTAGGGACGTCTTATATTCATTAAATCAATTTAACATTGAAGCGGATATTCTTTTCTTTGACTATATGTTTATAGTACGAATATATTTATATAAATCACAAGGACAAAATCCGGAAACCAACTACAGAGCTACCTAAGTCAGTGAAATTCTGACAGGGCCAAAGTTTTTTCGAACAAACAATTCCAGTAAAGCACCTCACTAGATATATTTCTCTTAAGCGAGTTAGCTCTGAAATACACAGAAAAAATTACGTATGCAGAAAAGCGCAAGTTTTGTTCTCATAATGTACTTCAGTATTTTTGATCAGTTAGTATAGTTTAGGCACCTTCTAACATAGGTTTAACAGGTTTTTCTAATCTCCTTGGTAACGAATACGTAAGGAAATTGGTCGAGCCCGAGTTTCATCAGCAATAAGAAGTTCGTCACCGTTTGCCAGGCCGAGATCTACAAATAATCGTCTTGTGATTTGGTAACCTGTTAAAGAACATTTTCTATAATAAATCCAGCTTTACATGTATATCTCTTAAATAGTAAAAAAAAATCCCAAATTTATGCAAGGTATACACTTTAAATTCATTCCAATCAAACCGGAAAACTGACCTTCCAAAGTTCTAGATAAATTGGCAGTGCTGATTTCATTCAATTCAGGTATCAGATCGCTTTTCATATATAATTTTTCCTTTGCTGTTTGTATTGATGGATTACAAAGTTGACTATAAAACAATGAATTTTTTTCATAAGATTAAAGTTTTTTCCGTCTTGTTTCCTACTCTAACCTTTAATTTCCTTTAAATGTTAGAATAAGAGGAAAGGAAGGGGCAAATTTTTCTTGAATTAAAGCACTGATCATGAAGTGTATTACTATGTATCTCTTTTGTCAATAGAAACAAAAATGTGAATCACATGGAAACACTTACTATCTTTTTATAATCTCATCTAGCAAGTAGCGCAGTGTTTCTTTGGCGGGTATATCTACGTACTGTGCCTGTTCACCACATACTAAACAGTCCATCTGAAAAAAATTTCTATTTTTATCGAGGAAAGAATAAACATCAAAAATATATCGAATAAAGTGCACTTTTGTATCGAGTTTTTAATTAAAGACGCAAAGTGTATAAAAAACCTATTTTACGAAAGAATTTATTATCAATGAATGTATGCGTGAGCACGAATTACTGACTTACTCTTTTTTCCAATTCGACAACTCCCACGAAAGCTCCTTCAATATTTGTGAAATTGAGATAGTTTTGCATTGGGCATGAAATGCTGTAAAAGAAAAGTAACAATTAACAAAGAAAAACCGCCAGAAGTCAAAAATATCAGTTAAAAAAATGTTAAATCAGGAAACTTACTTTGAAGCTAGTTTCAAAGCCTCCAGTGCGCATGATGCTGAAATATCTAAAGTTCACTATCCTATATATCATATCTCACTATCCTCATGATATCATGTTCACAAATAACGAGTGTTTATATGAATATTGTTGTATACTAGTAATCACTTGTATAAAGTATTCGTACATATATTCCAAAAGTCAAGGTCGAGAACGATAACAATTAGATACTACCTGCAATAACAGCATTGGTAGATGCCACAGCCGGAATTATTCGCTTCAGAACACCTTTTGTAAGTCTTAAATCAACTCCTTTGATATTGTATTTGTTAGCCCTTTTTAAAGCAGCTTTAAATACCCATTGCACGTGTTCCATGTTATCAGTGTCCATCGCTTCACCTGAATAATACTTTTAACTTATAGCAGTTTTTGAGATAACGGTAGCATCAATGTGGTACATGTTATGAAGTGTTATATTCAAATTACAAATAAATGAAATATCAAAGCGAACCATTAAATGGTTTGTCCTTATGCCACTGTATTACTTTCACATATTCAATGCAATGTTCAGGAAGTCGAGGAGTATTTGCTATCGTGCACATAGGAAAAGTGATCTGTAAATGCAAGCTGACTGACAGTCATAAATGGGCTCAAATTTAAATTAAATCAAATTCGACTGCAACGAATTTTAAATAAAGGTAAAGTGTAACCTGTGGTGGGTACAGATCAACAGTACATTCGACACAAGCAGTCATCGTAGGCAGTATTATTCGAGAATTTCCCTTAAATCCTTCTGTGCCACCATCAATTAAAGGTATAATGCCTGTTGGATTACCATCCGGATCGAATTCCACTATGCTTACCTATTTTTGATTTAATTACGAAATATTTAGTTACGCCATAAAGGTTAACTGTTATTCGGACAGAAAGCTTTATAATTTCAGCTATTGCATTACAAATTCAACATTAATTAATTAGGTGAAATAAATAAAAAAAATTAACCAATTTAGCATTAAGCCATCTTCTTGCAACCACAGAATCCAAACCACAAATAATGATGTCGAACGATCGATAAAACTGGTCATCCTTATCCTGTATCTTACAGTTATGACTGCAAATAACTTTCTTGAATATCAGCAGATAATGAAATTATACTAATGTATTTCACAAGTGAAATCCTATATGCTTGATGTTAATGTACTATTATTCAATGTAACATCTCCTTGTTTTCAATATAAAACACACGCGATTACAGAGCAATCTGGGATTCGTTTCCGGATGAATGCTGCCGCTACCTCGGCTTTTGATTTACCCACATCAGTTTCACTGAAAATAATGGGAATGAAGAAATAAAATAAAAGATGAGAGACTGAGAAACGTAATGAAACCAATGTGTTTACTAGAACTTGAATCATCTATTAATTTTGGTTTAGGTTTCAAAGATAACGGAACGAACCGAAAAAGGAACTGCCTATTCAGATTGGACAATTCAATCGTATCCATATCGATCACTTCGATCCTTCGAAAACCAGATAATGCCTAAGCATATCTAATTAAAATAAATGGAAAGTTTCTGTCTGACCAGTAAAATTACACCAATGTGATACAACTACTAAAGCTACCGAAAGAAAAACATACCAAATCTTTCAATAATTCACATCCTAATCCACCGGCTCCGACCACTAATACTCGGCAGTTTTGTACTGTTTCCAAGTTCTAAAAAAGTAAGTTTTTTCAATCACACATGGATATGCTAATACGAAAATTAGAAAACATCATTTCACTGCACTAAATTAAGGAAACAGCTTAAATTAGAGACGATAACCTGCACTCCTGGTTCGAAGGCTGGATGGGCAAAAGCCGATTTCCCATCGGTAAGACGTCTTAAGTCACGCCATCGTTCGTTTCGAAATTTATCAACCGATAGTTCCTCCATCTGAAAATTTGGGTACCAACAAAATGAAAGTGATAGGAAGGCTTCCCACACTATGATCTCTGTTACTCTGTCATGATCTGTGAAATATGAAATGAACTACGGAGAGCTACCGAATCACACTTTTCTCCAGTTACCATTACTCTACCATCTTCTCATGTCAGCCATGAATATGATGAATAACCAAGCTGGGAAACTAATTCAGTCAACAACCAGTGTCCGTGCACCTTCCATTCCTCTCTTTTTCCTTTCATCAGCACATATCATGAATTCCTACAGATGGATATTCTTCAAACTTATCTTTCTCAGCTTAATGGTAATCTGTAATTTGTGTAATTCAAATAAAATTACGTATAGGTATCGAATTCGAGTATATTAAATTAGCATTCTTTAAAATATACAAGAGGTTCTTGTTATTTAAAGTGTTACAAAGTTTCATCAATTTTCTCGACTAGGTGCCACTGAAGAGATTTGTCTTACTTTGTCAAGGAAAAAAAAACCAGATTCTCTTATCTCAGTAATATCCGAGAAAATTTTTTAAATTTTCCTTATAACTGATCGATGATTTGACGAGATTAAATAGGAAATTAAATAAGAATTTGGGAGGTTACCATACGAAAGTACTCCTCTGTAAGCAAGGAAGGCGGTATCCCACATGCAATTACGTCAAACTATCATGAGATATATACAATCTTTTCTGTTGATCTTGAGGACTGAAATGACTGGAAACGCATAGGTTCATAATAAACACTTAAGATTTATATTTTACAAACAAATACAAAATAATATTTCAATATTTTGATGATTTCATATAATTCTAACTCGATTTCGACAAGTATCAATAAATTGCAGTACAGTACACCAGGAAAATGGATGTTTGTAATGGATGCCAAAAAAGAAAACCAATGGAAGCAACAAACAATACCTTTGTGGATTTGTAAATAAGCAATATATTTACCTTATTGCACAGAGGGCTACTTTTATGAAAAGTCTCAACTCTGTTTAAATCCTAAATATTAAAACAAATTTGAAATAGAGTTTAGTAATATTTTTTTTAATTCCAGCGAAAAGAATACGAAATCAAGACTGATTTATTTCCTTTTCAGCACCGGCTTACTCGAGACGTCGATGGGAACAATTGGCGGATCTATTGTTTCAGGTACAAAACAGAACAAATATTAAATTTCGATCTTTTATCAAAGAGAGAGATAACGATTACATATCTGTGAAGACAACTACTTATGGCTGTTACGGACTTCTTGGATATGGGAAGGGTGGAGAAAGAGTAAGTTGCACCTAAACATTATACAATTCAGTGCGATGCATGCAACTGAGTACTGCAAACTGCAAAATGACATAAAGATTTCCATTCGTAAATTTCATACTCCGTCACGGTATCTGATTCTAAACTTTCCCGTCCTACCTTTGTACAGTTCTTGATCAGAAACCATTCCACGTGCTCAACTCTCACACGTCACTTAAAACGCCGTCTTCTTCAGTGGATCAATATCTACGATGAATGTATAGAGTACAGTCACATTGTCTTGCGATCAATATATCAAATTCTTGGTTTTCAAATGATTGCAATGAAGGAGCCGGAAGGAAACATATTGTATTCCGGTGCTGACAGCAAGATTGGTGTAAGTTGCCCAATACTTAGCAAATTTTCTAACGAATTCTTCCTCTGCGTACCGAGCGACATACAGTATGCAGATAATGGAATGCTTGAAAGCATCCGCATTATGCGGTACCACCAAAATAAAAGTAGCCTTAAAAAGGCAGAAAACCAGAAGAATTCAAAGTGAGGAAGTCTACCGTGTCATTGTAAAAGTAAAAGTCATTCTGTGTTATCACTACGAGACGAATTCTTTAAGCTTTTTTGTTGTCTTCTGCTTCTAATGCAGTTAAGTTACAGCATCTTAAATTTGTTGTATGGAAGAACAAATTTATTGTGGATTCAAAAAAGCTGACCGAAGAGACCAACGAAGAAGAATGCATTGGAATGGAAACTGCGACAAGTATGATGTGTCATCAACCAAATATGGAATTTGTAAGCGCATCATATCTTTCTATCTCTGAATGACAGTACAATGTCTCACACTCACTGAAGGCTCTCGATAATGTCTCGACGAGAACGTTTCAAAGTTTCAATTACAGTTTTACTGGAGCAAAGTATACGAGAATCTTATCCACTCCTACCCCTACATAGATGACCCACTCTTTGGACATGTGTACAGAAGGACCAGAAATATAAGCAACCATGACATCTTCCACGTGAACAGAATTTATAAACAGGTAATCATATACGTCACAGACACATCTATGAAAGATCCTTTTGCGGGTCACAAAGACATCACAGTACCTCCACTTATCCCTCTTTACTCAACCGGGGCTCAAATGACCATCAATTCCTGAGACTGGTCCAGACTTGTTATGAAAATTATTTTGTCCTAGCCTACTGCTTACTGAATTTTCTAATGATATCTACTGCTAGGAAAGCAACTTACTAAGTTGGTAATGATTACTGTGTTATCACTATTTGCACTTGTCCTTGTCCTCATTATCCTACATTCTCTTTTGATTCTTCCCTTCTTGCCTTTATCAGCAGTTCTCAAATTTAGGCCAACAAGGATTCGAGTTATCGATTGCATGATTTCGCGAATCCTTCAGTGTATAGGGCTGAAGATTTCCAGAAAATGCCCAATGTTATCATTGGATTGGCTGATTTGTATTGTGAGGATAGTCTCGTTGACTGTGACTTTCTACACAAATCTCGTGGTCATTGCAATTCATTTCAGGAGTTCAGGTGGATTTCATCTTACTTAGAAACATTTCTCATGTGAACTACTTTGCAAGAAATGTAAATTTGCTAGAAAAGTATTTATGGAAGAATTTGTTTTCTTTTTCTTTTGAGAAGATCCCGTTGCAGGTACATATTATGTGCTCGGACCTGTGGAATGTGTGGTATAAGCTTACGACTGTACTACATTAGTACACATCATCCTTTCTTGTACATCCAGGTTAACTTTCCGGATTTCTCCTTCAAACCGGTCGTATTTTGATGTCCTCTGTCTGACTTCTGCTTTGTACAATTATCGACTTATTACCAGTACTGAAGTATTAAAACTTGTTAATGATATAATAGTTGAATATCTCTTCTTTCTCCCTCCCTCCTTTCTCTCATATCTTTTTCCAATCGTTGTGATTCTATCGCAGAAATCTCTTACTTATTATTATGGAAATAGCGATGAATTATGAAAATGTAACTTTTTCCATCTAAAATGAGCTGAAAATAATACGGAAATAAAATTTATAATAATGGAAAAATAAAGGAGAAAGAAATCAATAATTTCAGGAAAAGACAGAACATCAGTTGCCAATATGTACCGATGATCTTCAGGCTGTTCTAAATGGGACATGTAGTCATACAAATTTGCATAATTGCTTGCTTCCCAGATTTCGGGAAAAGTGCCGCAGAAGTTGTGGCTATTGTCCAGAACAAAGTCGAATTGATTGCGAATTTGTAAGTTTTCCGGGAATCATTGCAAGGAAATACAATTGTCTTACATAAACAAATGTCACATACCGCATTAATAATGTATTAATTAAATTAAATTAAATTAGTTATATAACAGGTAACGGCTCTAAATGCTGAATATTTGTACGATCATCCGAATTACAATTATCGCTGTCAGTACATTCGAGCCATCTCCAATAGGAAATGCGAGGCGGTACGGACCTTTTTATTTTCTCTCTTCTTGCACGAGATTAATACTTGGCCATTCTTTTGCAATTTTCAAAAAGAGACAAAAAAAAAAGTTTTGTTTGAAATATTATGCTGAGTCGAAACAAAATTTTTGATTGAATGAGTATTTGATTAGCAAACCTTGTGCTGCTAGTTCAATAATAACAGTATGAACAAGGAAGATGAGAGAGATAGTATCTAGTGAAAAAACATTTCTTGCTCTACGAATTCGTGCTGCACAGATTCCTCGTATATCTTCAGGATGAAAAAGTTGCAATAAATCCGATTACGGACTGTATGCTATCCTGTGGTCATTATGCATGCTCTCGAGGTGACATAGAAGAAGATATGGGGCATGGGCAAGTCCCTGTGATGCAACTGTATGTACCACAAAATGAATGGCAATTCGCGACACTTGGATCTTTGGCTAGTTTTGAAGAAACCAATTCATCATTCAGTTAATTAAGATTAAACTATGTAATTTAATTGCAATAAATTTCATTTCATCGAAATAAACATAATGTTGTCACAGTTCATTTGCACCTTTCTCTCTGTTGCATATACTTCCTTCTTCCCACTTTATGACGCGTAAGTATGACAACGTGTGAGTGAGTATGACGACGACGATACGTGTCACGTGCACTTTATGCATTTCATTTCATTGTAACATATAAATATGAGTTCAACACTAGAACTCTTATTCTTTAATTTTGGGATTATTTATTACGGCTGTGGAGAGAAATACGACTGTGGCAATTAGAACCATTTGTTTGGTACAGTAGTGAGATGTATGCGCAGCCGAAGGATGTCGTTTTGTTGATAGTTGGAGTGGTACCACTGGCGATCATCGTTCTCGTGCAGTGTGCGAGTGGGAGACGGACAAAAAAGATGAATTTGGTTTAGTGATACCGTTTGTCTCTCCTCTTCAAATATTCGGGATGAGTGGTAGGGAAGGAAAGGAATGTCCGTTCATCGGTTGCAGTACATGTAGAGAGCCACGAAAAGGCAAGCAAGACTAGGTCGCTCTCTTCTGCTCTCGATCATGAACTGATCTTTGTTATCTATGATTTAATGATTTGAATCATTCGTCGTTGCACGGTTAGTTAAATATGTTTCAGTCAAATACCAAATCAAAAGTGACACAAAGTTCCGCATCCTCAAACAAGTCTGTGAAGGAAAGCAACAAACGGCAAAAAAACAAACTAAGGAGAAGTGTGCAAGAATCATCGCGACTATCATCTCAGAAAAAAAGAGCAATAGAAGTAGTCAAGCAAAAGTTTTGTCCCGATAGATTGACAAGCCAAAATAGTTTAGCTTTAAAGTGTCTGAAAGCAGTTCGATAAAGAAGCATTTTTGGGCATGAAAATGTCTCATATTGTTTAATTTAGAAAAGACCAGTTAGCATACGAAACCAAAATGATGCAATCCTTCGGTCGAAGGGTTCAGATCGATGGAATGGACTATGGGAGAAAGAAATGAGTGGTGATACGTCTGCTAATATACCTGGAAAGTCGTCAGCTGTGATACCTATGGTAACTACCGGGACACTAAAAAATGTAAAAGTTGCTAAGGTTGAGGATGTAAGCCATCATTTTGAAAAATGCTTTAAACTATTTAAATTTTAAATTATTTTAAATGTTACAGTAATTACAGATATTCATTTTCTGAAGAGATAGAAATATATGGGTCATTCAGTCTTTTTGACTACAACCATACGGAATTTCACATTTCTAAAGAAGAAAAGCCATTTAAGCGTTTACTGCTATCTTTACACAACTCCCAAAATACTATCAAATTTTTTTCTGATAGCTGCAAATAATCTGTATTGTTAAATTTTTTGACCTATCTAAAAGATTCAAATCATATGATTTCTTAAAATTCGTATTGCTAGATCGAATGAATCATTTTTATCGTCAAAACGTTCGAGTTGTTCAAATAACCGAATTAGTTAAAATTTTTCGGAGAAAGAGGAGGAGGATTCAACAATTGAGGAAAATAGAGTGATTTAAAATTTCAGACAAAATCGATCTCTAATGAAGAAATGAAGGAAGCCACCTTCAAAGAACAAGAGGTTAATTGAATTTCAATTTCATTAAAAAAACGTTTCTCTTATTATCAAAAAACATTTCATTACTTGAAATAATTATTTATTTCAGCAAAACACTCAGGAAAATATCGGCTTAATTGATGAAAAAGGTAATTATCTCTTTGAAGATTTTTTCAAATTTCTTACAAACTGAAAGTTTCGTTCTTTTTATCACTAAAGTTGGTCATTTATAAGTAGTAAGAGAGAAAGAGAGAGAGAGAGAGAGAGAGAGAGAGATCAATAATCTATCAGCCACTAAATGTCTGATACAGAGGAACAAGAGCTGATACTTGAACCGAGAAATCTCCGATGGAGTGGTGAGGGAGGCTATCAAACAGTACAACTGCGAAATATAACAAAGGACCGTTTGGCTGTCAAAGTATGACACTGTCATTTGATTCTTACAATGACAGTTAGGTAAGACATCTGGGAGGAATTTACCTGTACGGTAACCAGCAATACGGATTGATTTTCGTTAGTTCTTCCAGTAAACCACATCAAATTTCATTTAGTTCAGGAAGATGAATAATTAATAAGTGAATAAATGGTCTCAGTAGTAATTCAAAGCTCAACAGACATTTCGAGAAAGGATCCATCTTCAGGCCAAATGTTCGGACAACCAGCTGTACCGGGTAAATCCCGTATTCGGCTTCATTGATCCGGGAGAACAATTAAAGGTGGATATTATGCGGCGGAAAGCTGTACCAAAAGTGGACAAGATGATTTTCGTTAGTGTTCGGGTAAGTGATCGCCCATTCTGATCTGTGATCATTCTTCTCCTTTTCATAATTTCATTTGTAGTCTTTATTCCTTTTCACCAATTCACACGTTTCTAAAACAAAACCTGAATTACATATTTTATATTTCAGGCCAATAAGGATGACATTTTTCCCAAGCCATTATTCAAACGTTCAAAGGACAGCCAAAAGATGGCCATGTTACCCTTACTTATCGCTCGAGCGATCTGATCTGATCTCACTCAACTCGATGATGCGATCTGATCTGATCTCATTCGACTCGATGCGATCAGATCCGTACGGTGTGAATATCCATCCGTTCATCTCTTCCTCTCTTCTACCACATCCTATCACCACTATACCACTCAATAAATAAATCGTTGCCAACTCGTTCCGTTCTTTGTGCATTTCAACCGGATCCTATCTTCCAGTGGTCTTTAATGTTGCATTGTGGGTTCGGACGCGTCGTGCCGTTGTGTGCACGCATCGCTGCTACTAGGGTTTGCAGGCCAGGGAATCAGTTATAGGTCTGTGTGTACCCTTTGGGTGTCAAAGGTCACGAGGTGTAGATATTATATCACTTTACCCTTACGATATTTTTCAATTACTTCTTCACCAAACGTTCCACGTGCGTAACGCTCTAGCATTGTATATTCAACATTTATTATACGTGCATATTCCTATTCGGCATGCAAAAACATTCCACTATTTTCACTCCACACCTTATGATTTATTAATGTATGCAGATAATCCGCATCACTTGTTCAGCATTCTCATTTTTAATTTCATATTCATCTTTTCTTTAAATGTATCTTTCAGTGGTATATAAAATCTTGAATCATTATGGCTGCAGCGTCACCTTTGCTGCAGTACCCAGCATCGGATATAGATGCCTTGAGCTCATCAGCACCGCTGCAGCCCGCCGCAAGTTCTTCACAGTTTCCGCAGGTTGTTAATTTCTTCCAAACATTGCATAGTACATAAGTTATCTTTTCAAGGATATTTTGTTCCAAAAGTTTCCTTGCAGACAAGTTCTAATATCTCCAGTCAACAACAAATTATAACAAACAACCAATTTCAACCATATTACCTGCGACCGGGTTATCGATTCAAAACAAATTTGGTTCGTTGACAATCATACATGCGTGTTCATCATCTATCTGTTAATACTTTAATAGTTAAAGCCGAGGCTATTTGATCCCTCAAATAGTGACACTTATAAGTAGTATCTAAACATACTTTTTCGAGTCCAGGATTTCTTATTAAATTAGTTTGTGCTGTCATTACAGCAACCGGTATTGGATGTTGCTGACGGTCCGGGTAGGCGATTGCGCAAGAATGTTGCAAACGTCCGGCGTCACATCGATTATATTGCCAATGTACTAAATCATTTCGAGGTATGTTTATACTGACTACCAATCTTCAATATCATACCTTCTACCCTGTACCGTTTTCCAATTCTAGTTTATTTCTTCGGCCTCTTATCGATAATTTTATTATGAGGTAACAAGTATTTTTTTCACAACTGCTAGATGAACTGTAATCTGTATCGTTCATTGTGAATCAAATTTTTTTAATTTGTGTTTTAATAATTTTTTTTCCAACATCTACAGTTTATTCCTCATTATGCTCAATTAATGATATCGGTATTTGAAAAATTTTGGAGCTGAAATAATTGCTGACTTATATATTCTACGAAATGTCTATCGATAGCACATATTTTATTGGGTTAAAAGGTTTTAAAGGATTGCATGTATATCACATAGCACAGGAATGGAGGTAGGCGGGGAATATAAATATAAATAAATCTTTATAGTTGATTTTAGAAATCAGAACCAGAAATCTGGTACGTGAAAGAATTTTCAGGCTCGATTATGGCAGCATGATTTGCGTGCTCGTGAGGCCGTTCAGCCAGATATATTATATCAGAATTCTGCGGTTCCTCCAACCACTACTGTAGACAAGACTATTGACTGTGTTTTAAATAAATTTGTGCGAGCTGCGATGAATAAAGTTAAATGTCCTATTTACAGTATTTGTGTAAGTTATTAATGTTCTTATGAATTGCTACAGTCAAAATTCTGTCGCTTTATAGCTATGAAATACAAGACAACATTTTAATAGTATAATAGGACTGATTTAAAAAATTGAATTTAGACTGACTGAAGAAGTTCAATTTAAATCTTTAATTAGGTTTCCACTCAAAGTTACCATTACATATAACGATTTATTTTCGCGTTACTTTTAAGTCAGTAAGTTAGTGGTTTATAAGTTTCAGTGGACACCAGAGGGTAAACGGTTGATAACGGGTGCATCAACGGGCGAATTCACTTTATGGAATGGTACAGCTTTCAATTTCGAGACAATTCTTCAGGTATTTGTGGCAGCTTTTATCGTCCATTTCTCAGTGGATCGCGTTTATTCAGTTTTGTCTCATTCATTCATTTCCATGCGTCACCGTATGTTATCCATTACTCCTTGTTTTACGTCGTAAGTCACTAATTCGGCCTCAAATAAAATGAAATAAAGAAAAGGCTGAAAAGAGTTTGTGAGTAGAATTATTTTTATATATAACATAAATGAAAATAAAGGATGATCCAGTCGGCACTGCCTTTTTTACAAATATGCCGATATTTTCCTGCTTTGTATAATTATGAAGCAGATAAATAGTTTATAAGGCCTACTTGTTGACAGTTTGCATCGCGATTATCAGCGAGTGTTGGACTCATCCTCCACTGCCTACGTTATTTCTGCATTTTTCAAATCAGTTCAAAATTGGCTAATGTATCAAATGATTTAACTTCCTCAAAAAGTTAGGGACCAGTCGGTGGTCTTGTTAAAATTTCATGGGATGTTGAAATCAGTTATCAGTAACAGTAGGTCATTAAAAATTTTTTCGTTTTGGCCTACTTTGTTGATCAAAAAGTACTGTTGACTTTTTGAATGAAATTTGCCTTAGGAATGGATTGCTCGGATTATTTTCCATCACTGTAAAGGATGAAGTGCTAAGCAAGTATTTTTCATTATTCGTGAACTTTGGTGAGATCGAATTAGTATTCTTGGTTGCATTCAATAATTTGCTGAAGTCTGGGTGGGTGGATGGAGAAACTGTAATGCAGTTTTTATTTGGAGTAAATGATGTTACCTTCAACTTATGTTTAGATATCTTATTAAAAAGGGTCCCATTTGAAGAACATTGCGACGACGTTTTCTGAGATTATTGAAGTCATTTAAAGATGACTTGCTTATAATTCTTCAAAACATTGTGTTTTTCTACTGAACACTTATGATAGCTATCAATTTACTCTTTAATGCTGTTTGATCTTTACACGTAATGATAGCAGACCTCGCATTTTTTAAGGACAATCGTACAACGAAAACGTTCCAGTGACTTGATTTCTTGTACAACGCTTGGGTGTCTTGATATATTCCATGAAAGGGTTAGAACATCTGGTTCAAATGTACCAACTTGCACTTGTAACAAGTAAAAAATACTTAGCAAGCTAGTAGCTAACAAATTAAGATGTCACTGACGACAAGTGACAGTCCTGAAAAGTATAACTAAGGAATAAGGTGTCACTGTGAACAAGTGAAATAGTTAAAAGATCGGATATTACAGAAAACGAGGACGTGCGAAGTCAGCTATATGTTTTAGTTTTATTTTGTTCCTTGATCTTTTGAGATGAATACAGGTTAAGAATGCCATCGATTTGCATGTCATTGCAGCAATCGCCTATGTAATAAATAATTCCGTTATACTTAAATGGAAGGAGGTTTTGTTCCAGAAAAGAAGCTGTACTGCAATTGTAGGGGTGTACTTTGGTTTTTTTTTTTTTTTTTTTTTGCGTTTTTACGTGAATCAGTTTTACCTTTTAATCAACAACAAGTCAACTTTCATACAGTTAATGTCCGTATTTTCTTCGTTTACATCTAGCTTCTTATTCCTTTGGTAAGATTGTTCATGTTAATCAGTATTTGGATTAAACTTGCAGTTCACATGAGTAGAAAATTCGAGGTAGTGTTCTCTGATATCTTCTAGCATCTGATAAAGATGATATAATTGGAATATGAAACTAATTGATTGCTATGCATTCTGCAAGTCTGAGAGGAATTGCTTATTAATTAGGACATGAAAAGAAACTTTCTTAAACACTCAAATCCATTTAGGTAAGGAAATAAGGTATAAAATTTGGGATTCTTTGATTATATGAAAGCAACAAATCATATTATAGTTCACTGCACGAGGTCACAGAATCTGTTCTAAAAAGAAAAATTGACTTGATGCGAACTGCTAAATTGATTTCCCAGTTAATTGATGCCACCTGAAGTTAGTTACGTGCAGTGAACAACAGAGTAATTGTTGAAATGGTGTTCCAGGCTCATGATACAGCGATCCGTGCTTTGAAATGGTCACACAACGATCAATGGCTTGTCTCAGCGGATCACGACGGTTTCGTAAAATATTGGCAACCAAATATGAACAATGTACACATGTATCAAGCGCATAAAGATGAAGCTATCCGATCTATCAGGTTAGCTATGTTTGTCGTTTTTTTTTTCTTTTCATTTATTTTAAATTGCAGAAAGTTTTTTTTTTTCATTTTTTTCATTTAAATTGCAGGAAGTTTGAGATTGTACTATGAAGTTTCAACTTTAGTTCGTTGTTGCTTTTCAGTTTTGCTCCCACAGATGTGAAATTGGTAACTGGTTCGGATGATGCTACCGCGCGAATTTGGGATTTTGCTCGATGTGCTGAAGAAAAAGTACTTCGAGGCCATGGATCGGATGTGCGTAGTGTTGACTGGCATCCTCAAAAAGGTTTGATATGCACTGGATCACGTGACTCACAACAACCGGTGAAATTATGGGATCCAAAAACAGGCCAATGTCTGTCAACTTTGTGAGTTTTTTTAAAACTTTTCTGGATTCTAATGATTAAAAAAAAAAAAAAAAAATTATTGTAAGGGCTTGCATCAAGTTCTCTGTTGATAATGGCTGTTAATAATTTTTAACTTGAAAATAAATTCTTGTAATCATTAATTTTGAGACATGATCATAAAAATTCGGTAATGGCCGTGCAGTGGAATAAAAATGGAAATTGGCTGTTGACTGGATCCCGTGATCATTTGATTAAAATGTATGATATTAGAATGATGCGTGAAATGCACACTTACAAGGGACACAAAAAAGAAGTAACAGGTTAGTTTCCAACTGCAGTAGTTTTTTTTTCTTTCACTTTGCAAAATTGATTTTTTTTTTTTTGAGTTTTTCCTCTTTTGTAATCTTCTATTTTATTTAAATTCATAATTTTTCACACTTTCACATTATGTTATTTTGCAGCATTAGCTTGGCATCCGGTTCATGAAGGTATGTTTGTAAGTGGTGGCGGTGATGGATCATTGGCATATTGGCTTGTAAATAATGACAAAGAACTTGGATTTTTGGAACATGCTCATGACCAAGCTATATGGACACTTGAGTGGCATCCTTTGGGCCATATTCTGGCATCAGGTATTTCGAGTTTTAAGCTGAAATTATAATAAATGAGACTTTTGAAGTAACATTGTGGTTCAGGTATTGCCAATCTATTGATAAAACTTCGTTTTACTTAAAAATTCGACACCGATATAATCCAATTTCAAAATTCTTATTTTATGCTGATATCTTCCAGGTTCTAATGATAACAACACTAAGTTCTGGGCGCGAAATCGTCCAGGTGACACACAGGATGACATCTATGGTTTAGCATCATGTTCTGGTTCGATACCAGCGGCAGCAAAAGAAACGAAAACTGAAACTGATGAGGAAAAAACTTTTGTTGCTGTTATTCCAGGTGCTGTTGAACTTAACCAACCTCGAAAATTACATTATTAAATAAGATCTTTTTGAGCAAAAATATGTTGAAGCAAAGATGTAACAGAATTCAAGTTCAAGTTTTGTTCGCTGTATGTTGGAGGTATGTTTTTTAGGTATGGGCTTGGATGATGACGTGTTTCAAGGAATGCAGAAGAAAGAAGCGCGAACAACTGTTGGTGGTCCACCGGTTGGAGGACCTTTGCTATTTCCAGAAGATCCAAACGCACGTCAACAGGCAAGTTAATAAGTATTACTTCCATTGAAGAAATACTTAAAACCTGATAATAATATTTTAGAAATTGGACTGGCAAGTTTGATGAGAACGTAGATTTTGCTTGGTCGCAGTAGCAGCGTTATTATTAGATATTGTTCAAATGCTTTTGAATACTAGAAGTATAGCAAATGAATTATTTATGTTATTTTTCGTTAGACACTGAATATCGGTGCAAAAAGGACTCTGATTAAACAACCTCCACCAAAGAAAGCTCAACGACAATTTGAACGGATGTGGAATGTTGCGAAGCCTGGAGCTTCCGGAAACGATGATTATGTTGATGAAGTGCTGGACGAAGGGACATTCCGTAGATCCAAAGCCTCCTTGCTTGGGCCACCACCACGCTCACTGCTATCTTCGAAACGTGAAGAAACTGTAGATTCTTTGAAACTTTTCGATGGTACTTCTTCATTTATTTTAATCTTAACTTTCGCCATTTTCAAATATATCTTTATTTGGAATTATTCGGTGCTATGCTACGTCCTCGAATAATAGCTTTTTTTTGTGATCAAATTTTCAGAAGGCCGATCTCCTAGCCCTAGTCAGGACAGAAATAGACGTTCCCAGAAAAATCTCACTGGATCAGATCAGGAAATTGGTTCGGTATCCCTACAAATGCCGCCATCTGCACCGGCGGTTGTACAACAGTGGCCAAATTCAACAGCATCTCAGCCACCAGTGATACAACAGATTACCCCGCAACAAGGTATTTTGGTACCAGCTGTGCAGAGTATGTTCCTCTATCTTTTTTTTCTTTTTTTCGAAATTTTCTTTACTTATTTCCATAATTTTGAACTGGCATAGTTTTTCATTGATACAGACTAGGGTACCATAATTTTGGTATAACATTAGAATGTTTTTGCTGTGGTGCTGAACATCCTGCCTCATATCGCTGAGAAGTAAAGACAATTTTATATTATTTCAAGTTCTCCTAGTGTCTTAGTGTAGAATCCTGAAAATAATCTCTTAATGTGTCTCCTCGTTTGTATTTTTCTTCCACTGGTATTCGAATTTTCACTCTCTTAACTTCACATCATCAGTCGTTATTGACGTTAGCCCAATACTACGACTGTTTTTCTTAACTTGAAGCTCTGAATAGTTTTGTTTTATTTGTAACTTGTCGGCTTCTATTGCTTTGTCGATGAATATTGTTTTTATCTTTCTTTGCAGCACTGACGGCAGTGGCCCAGATGGGAGCAGCTGGTATACCTTTACCCGCCTTACCCATGCCACCAGCTATTGGTCCACTTATTTGGCCACCACCAATTCCGGCTAACCTTACATCTGTGCCTCCTGCATCGTCGTCGTCCATTCAGAACAGGGTACATTTCGGAAACTTAATATTTGCAGGAATATTTTTCATAAGTCGAATAAAACAAGTTCAGCATCTTTTAGTAGTTGCTGCTATTGTTACTTCTAAACTATTTTTTGGTTTTAGGATGTGGACTATCGTACTGCACCTTCTTCTCTCTCAATGCCACCACTTTTACAAGGTAATAGCACCTGCACATCCAATGATGTGGATCTAAGAAATCAGCAACCTTCGTCATCTTCACAGTCACAAAGCTGGCGCTCTAGTACACAACTAGACAGTAAATCAATAAATAATGATGAAACCTCAAGAACTACTCCTTCTACAGGTATGGAATTATGAATTGTATGGATTGTTCCTGTTTAACATGACAATTTGGATTTGAAAAATAATAACACTGGATTTGTCTTTATGGCTGTCATATCACATGTGTTTATGGTTCAGGCGAATTAAGAATACATGATCCTCGTATAAGAAGAGGTGGGTCTCGAGGAAATATGGCTAGAAATGGAGATGACGAAAGATCAGGAGGATCTATATCTGGAACTCAAGTACGTGACCCTCGCAGAAGGCCTCAGCTACGTGCCCCAACTGCATCTAAACAGGTCGTTTGAATTCCGAAAACTTATTCAACAGCATTTTAGAATTTGGCTTTTATATCGGAAGAATGCAAAAATTATCTTCAGGACGAAGACTTTGATGGTCGTTTCGAAGGTAGTCAAGTTCGACGGCGTGTCTGGATGCCAAATATGAACGAAACCGGAGATGGTAGAATTGGACTCGGCCAGTCAGTCCCAATGCGTTATGAATTTAACTGTCCCGTCAGTGATTTTGATGATCGCCTTCAACATCAACAACAGTACCCGCCCTATTTACATCAGCATACCGGAGGTGGGTTAGTACGGCGAGGGGCGAGCAGAAATCGAATTCGTAGAGGAGCTTATTAATTGCTGATATTTGCGTTAAAATCCCAATCGCTGACCTCATCCAGTTCATTTGGTAACTAAACTGACTCCTTTACCAACCAAATCACATCTGTTATCCAGAAATATGGATTACTTCACGACAATTTTGCATTGTTGTTTTGGATCTTCAATATAAATATGAAAATTTTGAAGTATGTAAGCTGTATTTCATGTTACTTTTTTTATTTATATATCATGGAACTCATTGCTTTTTCGTTCTTGTTGTTCTGTTGTGTTCTGCACTATCTACTTGGTTATATGGTGAATTTGTGCTGCTTTTTTCATTCAACACATAAAATAATAAATGAATATCCAGCTTACAAGGATCATAAGCACCAACTGAAACTTTCATTCGATATCAGTGGCATGAATGTGTCATGTGTCGATTAAGTCATAATCTATATTGGACATATATTATTTTTACAAAAAAAGAAATGGTTGGAACAAAACATCGAATTTATATTTCGTAACTTAATATTCCGTAATTTTGAGTGGTCTCGGAGGTTTCTGGTGATTCTCTGCAGCTCCCCGAGGAAACACTTTGGAGTGTTCGAATGGAGTACCAAATAATGATTGGTCAGTATGCACGTTCATTTGCTCTTCATCTGTGACTACCGCACGTCCATCCTCGACTGCCATTTGCTTTGTCAACATAACCAAACTCTGATGTATTCACATTTAGTCGAGATGCAAATCATATAGAACGAACTTAGTTCATATTATGATTTAGAACGAACTTATTGCAATATGGCTTAAGCACTCAACATTTACAACAAACAGCGGTATAACCTTGAAAGACTCAGGTTCGTAGACTGCAAGCTGCGAAATGACAACGTTGTCTAACAGGACATGCGCTTTTGCAAGCATATTTCGGAAAGGTGCATACTCGAAATGGTACTCGGCGAGAGCTGCCTTTATTCGTTCTTCCGCATACTGCAATCTTCACAATTACAATACATAATCTTTTAAGTATATGTATGCAGTTGTAATATTTTAGGTATAAAAAAGTGAAACAGCGTTCTGTCAATTGTTCGAAGAAAACTTACAAATTTCTCCAATTTCGGTGCATCTTCACGTTGCATATTCAAATATGTATACAGTTTATTCAATTTTCGTAAGCCTCTTCGTACGGTAGTCCGTTGGAAACCGTACTGCCACTGAAACATACAGTATCATTGTGTATCGTTAGTAAACGGAAGACTGTAATATCATAATTACATATTCCAATACTGACTGCAATATTCTTTAATATTACTATAAACTGAGAGTGCTCCAACATTACTATTATTATGGCAGCAAAATTGTTAAAAATAACACGTACGGCAACAAATCTTCTAAGTTGTTCACGTTTCTGCCATACATCTGGTTTGACTTTGACGTAAAACGGATGATATGGACTATTGATGACACGACGCAGAAAGCTGACCCCACTTGACCTCATCCTGCCTTGACTAAACCAGACAGGAATAGCCCCCCAATTCTACATCCACAGCTGCCGGACTTAATATCAACAGCAGGTTTGGTGCCGATTAGCTGTTGCCAGTAAGGGGCCGCGTGAATTTGCGATGTGTTTGGGAAGTGAGTGGTGTTGGGTTGGACGTGGTGATTTGGTTGCTGAACGTGGAGTGCAGCATGGAGAGTGGTCAGTCCCCGTCACCAGTGTACGAGCAGGAGAGCGAGGCGGATTTGTCCTTGTGAGTCCTTACATTTTTATGGGTTCATTCTCGGTCATCAGACAGGAAGACTATTCTGTTTTCAGGAGAGTGCTGGGTCACTCGATGGAAGAGCCAGAACCATGTTCATTCAATTTACGTCTTATCGAGGCTGTTCGTAGCAGTCGCTGCCTTTATGATGCCAAGGATCGTTTGTATCGCTCGGCGGATCATAAGATCAAAGTGTGGAATCGGCTTGTACAGATATTGCAATTTGATGGTATTATCAATTTTTCATACTATTTCTCTTATTATCATCATATTATTTATTTCTCTTGCAAATATTACCATATCAATGTGATGGATAAGATAGCTATAAAGCTTGAATAATTTTATATTTTATATGATGTGAGGGCGTGAGACAAATAGTGAATCTCCCCGCATTGGTATGACACAGCTTTTCATCAGTTTATAATGGTAATCGTGATAGAATATCATGATCATTATAATTTTCGACCTCACTATGTTGTCATAGTTCATTCGAAATATTATTGTAATCGTTGTTATCCTTTAACTTTGTGGGAGCAAAGAACTTGCCGATGAATATTGAGATGTTTAATGAATTTAATCGATGAGTTTGAGAAATTAAGAAAATTGAATGGTGAGTGATTTTCCAGGTGATGCTCGTACATTATATAATCGTTGGAAGCAGCTGCGTGATAAATATGGAAAAGAGAAAAAGAAATTAAAGTACGGTGCGGAACATACTGGATGGCAGTACTTTAAACACTTGACTTTTTTGGACCCACATATGATTGACCGACAGCAGCAACAGTTTGCCCGTGCTAAAGACGGCAAAGGAGTTATGCTTTCACCTGGAGGAGTTTGTATTTAATTTGCGCTAGGAAGAAAGGATAGGAAAGATTTGGAATGGGCTTGTTCGATAAATTAACATAGTTAAGTTGGAAAGTAAATTATTTGAAACCGGTCACTGGCCAATTCTAGACTCCGCATCATATCGTGATCAATGATCCGACCTTCTCGCTATCGTTGATTCAAGAAGTGCAACAACATCCATGTCTTTATGATATCAGAGATCCCAAATATAGGCATTCCGAATGTCGAAATCAAGCATGGGCTGAAATTATCAAAAATTTGGATTTTCCAGGTTCTGCAGATTCTTTTCCACTTCTGGCTGGTTTCAAACTTTTATTGGTTTTTTTTTTTGTGCTATCATCCTCAATTAAGACTTTTTATAGGAGACATTAATTCTATCTATAAGCAATGGAAGAAAGTGCGTGATCGCTATGTAAGAGAGAAACGAAAGATACGGATGTCAAGTGCAAATGGTGGTGAAGTAGAGGAGTCGCAGTGGGATCTGTTTCCTCAAATGATGTGGATTGATCCATTTTTAGATGACCGAGCCACGTAAGTTAAGTTATGTGTTTACGAAACAACTTTAATTTTTATTCCTCTATCCAAAAAGATTTTTTTTATTGTTCGAAGTATGCATTTTATAATGTCTTGGCAACGACCATTTTATAAATGAAAAAATTTATTGAAGAGTTGGAAAAATTCATTGGGCAACAAGCTGGGTTGAATAAATACTTTGCACTCATAAGCAACTGAAATCTTTTAGGCATTATTCAAGAAGTGTCAAACGAAAACATGATAGTGAAGAGTTGTCCGAAGATGGCTTTTTAGATGACTTAGCAGATAGTGCGCACGGTCAGCACAGTGTCTCGCAGAACCAGCCACTGTATTCTTCAGTACTGTTGCCGGGAGGAATGACTACTGTTAAAACGATGCAGGGTGAGAAATGATAATAAAATCTATATTTGTTAAACGTAAGGAACTGAGTAACTCAAACATTAGTTATTTGTTACATTTTTTGCTTCACAGTGACAAGATGTTACGAAACAATAAATGAGGGATCGAGGTGTTGCTAATAAAGAATAAACTTGGTTAGAAGTCTCAAAATGAATTTCAGGTACTCACAGAGAAGCAGAGCGGGCAACAATGGTCACACGAAATTTATCACTGCAGCAACGTGATATGAATGCTGTTGATGGTGACAAAGCATTTGCATTAAGTGTAACAGCTGATATGCTTGCACTTCCGGAACATGCTAGGGCAATCGCGAAGGCTCAGATTCAGAACTGGCTTGATAATTCTAGGCTCTCGCAGCAGATGCAGTTTGATTCTAAATAATGGCAACATTATTGTGCAATGCAAATGTCAAGTTCCAAATGGTAGTATCATTAATAGGATCCTGGGTATATTTTCTCTTTGTTGTCCTAAAAAATCATTTAGACCGTTATAGTTACACGAGCATTATCTTTCAGGTTGTTTAAATTAGAAGCGAGAGAACATATTCCGGCTTTCTCTCACTTTTCCCAAAGTTGTTTTATATAATCTTCTTTGTTTAAAGTTATTGCTTTTTATTTTATTTTGCTATAAAATTCTAATATCAAACTTAGGCTGTTGCACATAGTGCTAGATTATCCAGTGCATGTGCGAGAGGTTCTTTTTGTCTGCATTTTATGTTGTCTTCACGTATATATTTATTTCCTCTACTCTCAAATGCCTACCCTGCATCTTTATTCTTCACCGTTTTGTTCTTTTTAAAGTCATGTTTGCATAAGATTTGTTGCATTCTATATGTATTTTTGGACAAATATGGGCCAGCTAATTATTTTTACTCCTATCAGATGGTTTTAAAGATGCGATAGAATTCCGGAAAGATAATGACCTACTTTGGGATAAACAGTCAAGAAAAAATTGCAAGAAGCTGAAATAACGTGTGTTGTTATCTTGAATCATGTATAATTGTATAGTGTAATAGACGAATAAGTCACATTATAATAAAGGAATATTTATTTATATCAGCTACTCATATTTCATGGCTAATTACGTGCACATATCCTTTATCCAGATTAGCTATATTTTGCGTGAATCCACGGCAGCTTGGGGCAGTATTCACGGTGTTAGCAGTTATTATTGTTTAAAATGTAGTGGTGAAACTGACAATATTGTTAGATGAAGTGCAAATGTGGACTTCATTTTCAGGAGACGTTGCCTTTTTCTTCAATTTTCGAAATATCTCTTTAAAACGGCATTTGTCAGTATTTTCCATCGTCTGTTGAGTAAAAGCATTACTACTATGGGTGAAGCTAATCGAGGTCGGCGTATCGTTTGGGTGGACTGCGAAATGACAGGTCTGGATGTTAGCAGTAAAACAATCGTTGAAATTGCATGTGCCATTACTGAAGCTGATTTGATGGTAACTATGTTAACTTATTTTAAAATTAGCATTCATCATTTCAGTCA